ACCGCATACGAAGTCTAATATCGACTGGAACTTCCTCTAATATCTCGTGTAAACGCGTGCTCAAAAAATCAACGTACTTTGCGCCTGTTAGTTTCCCATCAAGAAAAAAAAGGTCCAATTAAAAATTTATCAATTATTCCTGCCCATACGTTTAAACTAAACTGATGTTGATGTCTTGAATGCACAATAACGTGTGGGTTTTCTTCATCCCAATTATGATTATTATGAAAATTGAATATACCATTCCTGGTAAAACTAGCTTACTAGAGTGTTTTGCTCTGTTTATTAAAATTCGTTATATCTCATAAACGAAGACAGATAGGACATATATTTATACTGATATACTTTTTTTCATTATTTTCAGGTGTACAATCAGCTGCCAAAGTGCGTTCCACAAGTTACGAAACACCCTGTATATATATATATATATATATATATATATATATATATATATATATATATATATATTTCCGTGACTCGAAAACTGAGGCTTTCATCCTTTGGTGTTTCAACGAGCCAGGGAACGACACTCTGCGTCAACACGCGATGAACGGACGAACGATGGAATATACTTAAGCTGTAGAATCCGTCTGCGTGTATCTGCTCTGTCCTTGCACTTGTGCAATCGAAGGGGAGAGGAGAAAGAGACGAGAAAGGGTTAATACCGATCCGGCAAGCTGCTCCAATTTCAATTCGCGCGATAAACCGCGGCGGACGCGGCCGATGTGGCTTGCACCTGGCTTCCCGGTGTCTATTTACGTCCGCGTCGGAATAACGCCGGTAATTTACATTTTCAGCTGACCGACTTCCATTCGACTAAATTCGCCGTTCAAGTTCTCGGTGAGAAGACAAACAGACGGCAACGAGCGAGCACACGCCACTCCGCGTGGAAACCACTTGTCGTCAATGGAAACGCAGAACTTTGAGGATTGATGAGAGGGCTCGAGAGGGGCCAGCCGATTCGATGAAATTCTCAATCAACAGGACCGTTATCCCGTTCGTGGGTGCTTTTCTCTGCGTCTCTTTCTCTGAACAAACGGTCAACCTTTTTCTCCTTTCAACGTCTTCAACGAGGCAGGAAACATCGAAAATGTTTCAGAGAAACTCCTCGAGATCTGAAGACTCTGTACTCACGGCTCGGCGAGAGATTGTAAACGATTTTTTATATCGTTCTTGTTATCGTAGAGTCGACTCTATTAAAACTTCAGCTGGCTATTGTTTCAAAAGAACAGGCTACACAGCCTTTATAGAGCATCGAGTTGTCCGGACGTACCTTCGCGAAAGTCAGCTGCTTCAAATCTTCTGCATCCTCTAGCCGGAGATAAAAGGCACGAGCAAAAATGTCAGTGACGGTTTATTTTTGCTCGTGGAAACCATCCCGCAGCTCTCAGAGCGTGCAGAGCGAACGCGAAACGGAGGATCTCCCCGTCTGGTCGTCGTCGAAAGCGAGCGCACACGCTCGTAAAATCGAGCCCCGTGGTGGTTTTTCCGACTTCAGGTCGGACGTAGTGTCGACGAACTATTGATTCGCCGGTGGAGCCCGCGTTCCCCGTGCCTCTATACCAATCCACCAGCACACGGGTCCCAGTGCCGTACCGATTTTCCCAAGCGTGTACGAATTACCGTCACGTACCACCCACCGTATTATGCCTTTTCCGGTTTATCGATTTTTGCCGAGCTTTACAATCAGACACTGGGTGTACAGTATACAGCGATCGTCGAATTAGAATCGCGTACAGAAACTTCTCTTCAATTGTGATACACATTGCACGAATTGTCGAAATTCTTAATGATTGTCCAATTATTCCGATTGATAAATGTCGTTTCTCCAAATAAATCCTCACTGAACCAAATAGTAAAGTTTCTCTAAAACGCTTGATCAATTTTTCACCAATATTATGTACAATACATGCGCTGCTCCAGTCAATTGGACAGTTGTAGCTTCTTTTGAAATAATTTATTCAACTGAGATTTTTTTCGAAACAGTTCGTTCGTTGAGAAATTGCCTGGAAGATACGTCTCTACTCTTCTCAGAATATTTATAAAAGTAAAGGATCAAAGGCAGCGACGTGACAAATAGGTAACCTCAGCGAGTTAGAATTCCTTAATGCAATCCGAATCAGTTGGGAATTTTGAGTGATCCTAATCCAACGACCAGACATTCGTATTTCACTTTTCGATCGGAACGAAGCTTGGTATCATCGGAGCATCTTCTGCATAGTTTCATCTTTCAGTTGGGAAATTCTCACGCGTTATGCAACGAGTTAACTTAATATAAATTGGCGAAATTGTTTGGAGAGAAACGAAAGACATACGCATTAATACTTACGTCGAATCTATGCTACGATTGTATGCTGAAATACACTTTCTCGTTCCCACGCTTCGATAAGCGATGAATTGTATCTTCATGTACAAGAAAGCAATCGACGTAGAATCTGAATAATAACGATCGTCTTCACGATTCAATATTTCTTTACGTCATTTTCATTCGAAGAGTTTCTGAAGAACTTAGCGTCACAGGCTGGAAAGTGAAACGCTACCAGCCCCTGAAGGATCACACTTTCGTTTACACGGCCCGTGAACTGAGACCTCCTGCATGATTGAACTAATATTATCAACGAGTTACAAGTTATATTACAAGTTATAGCAACAAGCACGAATCTTACAAATTGCAAACCGATCAGATTATTCCATTCGTCGTGAAAATTGCAAAGTTCTGTCGACTCGACGATTATTATTAATTAGCACATTACTAAATGTTAAACCACTTTGCAAGAGAATTCTAACATCATCTCTTTCGTAAAAAAAAAAAAAAAATAGCTTCTAGACTATTAGAATCAGCTGAGAAAAAAAAAAAAAAGTGTAACCAAGCGGAACCAAGAGGCGTAACTGCGAAAACTGTGAGGCAAGTTTCATTGTTCGCACTTGTTTCATTGGGACACTTTGCAAAAAAAAAACAGTGAAAAAGAAAACCAATGATCCTCTTATTGTCCAGTAAATTGTAAAATAGCAGAATTTATGACAATTCGCTATCAACTGATCGTTTAAGAGACACTGGCGTGGAAGTTTGAATTTTATTGCGTCCCAGTTCAATAGACGCAACCATCTGCATAAAATTTAATACACACGTACATCTGCGTTCTTGTGCAAGTTCCCTTTTCCGCGAGATAGACTGGTGCCGGGCGCCAAGACGCTCCGATCAATAAGGCAGCAACCTTGCGATCGTCACGACGGTGCGACGAAAAACTTTCGGTTTTAATAGTGACGCAGGGAACACCCGTATCTATCTGTGTTTACTTTCTGCCTTACAGCTCTTCTGTCTCCTTCTAAATATTGCCTTCGAGCCACCGCGGTGCCTATATGTACGTTTTCGAAGTTACAAATCATTTAACGACCCTCATTGCCTGCGGTGAAACGGAGGGAACTGGACGGAGGACTCGACCAACCTCAAAAAAAGCGATACGAACGCCCGGCAGAGTAACAAATAAATTGCGGAGCGTTTCTCAACATCGTGTCGCCGTTTACGATTACACGAACAACATTAACGAATTTATTTCACCGTTGATTACGTTTCTGTACTTTCCTCTGTTAATTGCAAACGGTTTGCTAAATCCGCCTGCGCTATCGATCGCGAGTTCGGTGACCTCACACTGCGGTCTCGTTCAAGTTAAAATTACGAACATTTAAAATTAACAAGGCACGCGATGTGTTTTGTACTTCTTCTTTTTTTTTTTTTTTTTTTTCATGTATTTTCGACATTTTTTTTCGAGCAACGATGCAGATAATGACGGGGACACAGCTGGAAAACGAAATTTCAATTGGCGGACACTGCGATAGATGAATATCAAATTAACCGTTATAGACGAAAACAGATCGATATGACGTTTTAGGCAAGGGCTATTCTAGTCATGGAATCACGTCGGACAATATCGAATGCGGGGACGTGCTGGTTTTATTGCCGCACTAATCGTGCCTCAGAGATATTTTGCATCGATTTATATTTGCACACGGTCCATCGTCGTCTGTCATGGACGTTCATTATCTACAACCGATTACTTGTTATAACTCTGTAGAATTTCACTTGTTTTTCTTTTTCTTTTTTGCACGATACTGTATCATTCGTCTTAGCCTCGATTTGTTGCAAATAACAAATCTTTCCAGTATCTTTTTCTTCTCGTATGAACGAAGCGTGTTCTGTCAAAGTTAAAATAACGTGCTACTTTTATTTTTAAACATTTGCTTTACTCGCCGTTGCTCTAAAATATGTTTCGAGCGTATATTATTCTAATGCACTCTAGATAAGACTTAAAGAAAAGATTATTTTTTCAAATCAATTATGATATGTTGAATTCTAATACAAAACTATGAGCGACCACAATGTTCCGCAAAAGTTACTAATTCGGTGTTTATTGAATTTCGCAGCACCGCGCGTGATGCGTATAAAAATCAACGCGTAAAACTAGAGGAGCCGGCGTTTGCTCTAACCTATAGTTGAGGGCAGAAAAATTTTTGCGCAGTTTATTTACGTAACGATATTTAAATGGAAAGGAACGAGCCAGCGCGAGAATTGAAATAACAAAATAAGGAATAGAAAAACAGAACAAATTGACAAGGGACTAACCTGCAGGTGAATGGGGACCTTCTTCACCGGCGTGCTCATTTCTGATTAAAGAGAGATTGATCACGTTGCTCCGGAAAAATAGCGAATCCGATCACGATACTGATCGTCGGTCGCGTAGTATATATTCTGTATTAACGTTGCGCGTGCACACCACTATTTTTACTTAAGAAGAGACGTACCACTTGCGCGAAGTTCCCCGGAAGCGAAAATTAAAAAGCGCAAGATCGAATCGAATCGAACAATCGACTGCGACTGACGCTACGAGTGCGCGTCGCACAACCACGATGGTAAGTTTTCCTCCCTACTCCCTTCGTTTCAGGATAGGTGGGGATCATCCCCACTATATATGTATATATGTATGTGGTTCATCATACTCTGGGAATATGTAATTTCCAAGACACTCTGAGTTCAACAATTTTTCTTTCTTTTTTTTTTTTTGCTATCTTGATTGTAACGAAACAGAACCAAAAGGAGTGAGAGTACTCTTACTCTTGTTTACATCTTGATAAATATCATTGCACATAATTGATCGTGTATCTGCAGATAATTTCAAAGCTGTTGCAAGTTCAAACATTTCTTGTTAATTCGATCTAACGAGATAAACTCAACGAGAAACTGGAACCACCCTTGGCTCATTTGTATCTCGAAAGATAGATAATAAAATATTTGATAAAAATTTAGACGCTTGACTAAGTAATTGTCATTAAGTTGTCAATTATAAACTTTTCAAATACGTGAAAGATATATTTTTCAGAAGGTTGAAATTGGTAAGAGTGTGGATTAAACGTATTCCCGCCGAAATAGAATACTTCCGTTTAAACATGGCTATTCTTTTACATATGAGTTGCGATTTATCCGAAAATAAACAGAGGATACTGCATTTAATGCCATGCAAAATTTGTGGTGATAAATCTGCCAATGTTTCTACTTATTTTACACCTTATATTTGTAAAAGAGACAATGAAGGTACGTTCGTGAAATTTGAATTCATTATCGGTAAACATACATGGTTAGTATGTATACATTTTCCTGCAAATAATAATTACACCAATAATATTGTGACAACAAAATGTGTGATTAAACAAAAAGAAATTCCTTTCACATATAGTTTATACCTCTTCGTTTCGTGGACGTCCGCTTTATGGAAAAAAAATAACAGTTCCTTCTGGATATAAAGGTATTATATTTGTTGAGCACAAAAAATCAGAAATAGGAAATGTTAAACGTAATTTGTATGTCACGGGTACCTTTCCGCATTTCACTTACTGGAATTATGATAAGTTGCCAACAAAAAATGATGCGTTAGCAGCTGCTATGGACTGGATTGATATTGCCGAAGCAGTAAGTTATTAAATAAGAAGTAAAGATTCATTGTATTTTGTAGAATATAATCAATATTTGTATTTATGATATATTTCCTCCTTAGCTACATTCTACAGAATCATAACTAAAAATAAAACTTAACATTATGTGAAAAATACTGTTATACATTCGGTGGATTATGAAGATTGTTCTATTTTGATATAAAGATAAAAATAAATATATTTTGCATATTTTATATACGTTATAGTTTATTAACCATGTTTTATATCATGAGCATATATTTTTGTCATACATAACAGACACCTTATAATCCCATATGTAAACAAGCAAATGACTTTTGGTTTAATCAGGAAAGCTATTTCAAAAATGTGCAGTCTTTTACAAGATAAATAGTATATTTGTAATTTATTTTCTTATTTTTATAAATATATAAAAGTTGCAATGAGAGAAGATGAAAGCATTTACTATAATCTTTGTTAGCAGAGATCTTTTCTTATTACATATATATAATACTACTGAGTGTAATATATTATAGTATTTTCAATATTGTTTATAATGATATCAGAGAAATAGACTGTTAGTTATAAATTTATAACCAGTGTAATATAATTCTTTTCCAAAGTTATGTTCTATGTGACATTCATATGTAGCTGTTTATTTATGATTATATCTGTATAAAATTCATATAAAATGTTTTCTGGAGACTATTTAACATAGGTTGGCAGTTTTAGAATGAATATTTGCAAGAAATACATGCATGGTTCCTACTGGAGTCTTTTTATACATGCACATATGTATATATATATATATATATAAAAAAGTTAAAATAATCTTAGTTTCATGTACAATGGCAGTTAAAGATAAAAAAAAAAGTAGAAAGTTTCATAAATATTTATGTCAGAAGAAATGTTAAATATAATTGTATATATAAAATAAATATTTGAAATCACTTTTAAGAAATTCTAAAATCGTAAACAAGATTAATCAAAAATAAAGTGTATAGAGATAAAAATTTTTTTATATAAATTAAAACATTTTTAGTTCATGAATACTTCATGATACATAAATAATAAATTATCATAAATTAATATGTTCTTAAATTTCCTGATCAGCCTACACAACTTATTTACAATTGCATCATATTCCTAATACCCAGCTAATCTAAAAATAGGTCCATCATATATCACGTCATTTCATTTTAGCAAAAGCACCCTAATATTTATTTATAAAATTAAAAAGTAAGTTCTGATATCTAGTATTACTACAGAAAAAAAACAATCATATTATTTTCTCTAGTATTTTATAAAAAATTCTAAGAAAGGAAAAATGTCCTTATTATTAGTATATTGTATATTCATTTTTAGCCTCTCTTATTGATACTAAAACTAGATATACATAGTAAACAATCTGTGACTTTTACTATTGCACGGTTTTTATTTTGTACCCTGATTTTTAAGTATTTTTTTTAACTTACTTAAAATTGTTTATTCAAATTCAATTATTGAGTAATAAATACAATACTTTTCTAAATATTTTTTAATTGAAAATCATATAGTTGGCTCAAGTATTTTTAATACCATTATATAGTTCAATATATATTTAAAAAAAATAGATTTAACAGTCTTATATTGTTATTAAAAAAGTTAATCATAAATTAATCGAATTTTGATAATACTTATACTGTTTACATACGATTGTATGAAACGTTTACTAAATCTGTGCGTCTTAGAGATTATTATGTAAAAATTATTTAGACTTTCATAATACTGATTATGAGAATGTACCCAACTCATTTGCTTGCTCCTGATGATACTTGTTCTGATCTTGTTGTTGTTTAATAAATGCACTCAATCTGTTAAGTAAGAATTGTTTATCATGACCTTCTAGCACTAACTGATTCTTTAAAACTGTAACCATGTGTTTGTTTGCTATTGATACAGCATAATAGTAATATAAAAGTAAAGTAAGAATAACAAAAGCTGGTATACCAAATCCAGCAGTACCAAGAAAATATAAAATAGATTGAAGCCAGTCAGGAAATTCTGCGAAAACCACAATTAATAATGACCATACAGACTTAAAACCTCTAAATGGTCCACAAGATTTTGACGGTTCTATTTCTGCAATAGAGTAACCAACTGGGACAGTAAATAAAATAAAAGAGATCAATAGAATCAACATAAAAAATGCATTCGATTTACTTGCCCTGTAAATTTTACTTGATGGAGTACTATTTACTAAACAAGCAAATTTTTTAATATAAAACAATACGAATGTACCAAATATTGCAATCAGTGGTAATAAAGGTGCATAAAATAAACCAAGCCAACAAATAGTTTGTAAATAAACAACATCTAAGACATGCTTAGGTAAATCAAATTCTTGTTCACCGAAAAAACGTAATACTTTGTTTTCTGTATGTTTTGCTATCATTGATCTGGGAAAATTGATAAAAAATGTCATAAAAAATTGAAAAAAAAGATCAGTCATATAGAGTTTGAAGAACTGCTGACCTACGAATGTTTCCCAGCATAATGGTCGTTTACTAGTATTGTTAGTGCATTCATTATCCTTTACCTCTGTTACAATTAGTCTATAAAATGATGTAAGTACAACAATGAGAGAAGAAAGTCGCAAAAATACAGTTCGGAAAAGAGTTATACGAATAACAAATGAAGGACTATAATTTTCTAAAGAGACCAGATATCGAAATAGAGATGGTACGGCAAAATTTAAAATGACAATACACATGTATGGAAGAAACTCGAAAAATAAGTGAACGATTCTATTTAAAGATAAATTTAAGGATAAATGTGAATCTGTGATGTTTGTTTCATCAATTTGTGGTGAAATTTGATTGAAAGAAAACTCAAATATATAATAAATAAATATACCACAACCACATAATACTGTTAAAACTATTAAATTAATAAACAAACGCATGAGAAACAATTTTGTTGTTTCTTCTCTCGTTCGATTTTGTCTTTCTTCTTCTAGTCTTTCGGCTTCTAAAAATGCTTTCACTTCATTATATAATGCTTTGTGTTTTATAGCTGCAGACTTTTCATTATGTATACAATAATCCCAACCTCCAAAAACTAAATTACAATACTGATAAAATTGACCTTCATTTTCGACTACCCGTTGTTTAAAACTTTTAGCAGCTGACTTAACAATGACTATTAAACTAAAAATAAATACACCAACAGTTGCAGAAATATAGGATAATGGCAAATTAAAAAATATACCAGAAGTATAAGTCATATGGCTATATGCACCATAAAATAATAAAGTGTATTCTAATATACCAGCTATGTTACCACTTTCTTGAGTTATATTCCAATATAATTCTGAACAGCAAGATATACTATGACTGTTATTAGAATTTACGCATGTTTCATCTTCTGGCATATCCAATAATGTTGCAGGTAACACAATAAATAAAAATATAATTGCAAACAAAAGAACATTAAGATACAGTAACCATTTGATGAATAAAAAGTATGCAACAATTCCCATTCCAAAGTTCCCACCAATTGTTTTAAGGCTATCATTCCATAACTCCATTTTTGAATATGCTTCCTTCATTCTGATCCGAAATTGTTGCCAAGCTTTCCTTCGTTGCCATTTCAATTGCTCAAAACCTTGCAATCTTAATTTTGTAGCGCTCTGAAATATATATAAACAGATATTTAGCAATTTTTAATCAAGTATATAATTCTATTTTTCTTCATTAATATTATCATTACTTGTAACTGATTTTTTAGTTGTATCTTTTGTGCCATGCACACAGGCATGGCTTTGATTTGCATTATTTCTTCCCAAGTACGTTCCTCATTGGATAAATTTTCAGATAAGTCTGGTAACATTGATACTGCTGCATCATGAATATTCGTTGACATACGTCTAGATGTAGTTGTACCACGAGATCTTGTACTAGTACGTCTCCTCAGTGTTGTTTTAGTATCATTACGTATTCGTTTGGCAGTTGCTATTTGAAATAAATAACATTAACATTAGCATTAACTGATAATATCAAAATATTAAACATACAATATAAATTCTATTATTCACAAACTTACCAACACGTGATTTTTTACTTGGCAGTAAAGTAGCTATATGAGAAGGATCTCTTTGTAATGCTTGTTGTAAATCTGCTTCAATTGCTGCAGGATAGCTTTCCTGATAAAATTCAGCTCCAGCCTCTTCCCAACCCTGTCCTCTGTCACAAGCACGTTTTTTTCTGTCTCCCCCTGACATCTTCTTTTTATGACTAATTGTAATTTGCGTATGGAATTTTCTTCAAAAATCTTACACACAAAATTGAAATAAAAATTATTCACATATAATTTATTAAATTGCTTTGTATCCCAATTATTCACATATAATTTATTAAATTGCTTTGTATCCCAATTATTCATATATAATTTATTAAATTGCTTTGTATCCCCCAAAATATCTAATATTTACCAAATTTTGTATGATTTTATATGTTAATCAATATACATATATAAATGATATAGTCTTACAAATTATAAAAATGATATAGTCTAAACAAATTATAATTTAAACAAGTTGCACTAAGGAATAACATTAATAATAAACTTTTATATACGTTCAGTTATAAATACCTAATTGAGAAGTATCCAAGATGAATCAGTCGATCAAGTGTCTTGTAATTGTGCAATTTCTTGATAATACATATTCCTTTATTCTCTTCGATAACAATACTCATGAAAAAGAAAAAAAATAACACTTTAACAGACAAAACACTGATCTTTATCAGTTATATGACACGTACATAGATTGCAGTTGTAAACTATGACGTAGTTGCGTGAAATATTTAAATGTATTAAATCACATCAATATCAAATTTAATATTCCTATATGACAAAATTTCTGATTTTTCCACGTAAATAAAGCAAAGTAAATGCAACGATTCAACCAGTAAACGCACATCGGCATTTTGTTTTCCCATGTATCTAAACCCGTGTAATTTGTAGACGGCTGATAAAACACTGAGTCATGAACCAAAAGGAATATAGAAGGTATTGTTCTACTTGTATCAAATAAGAAATTCTGAGTATAATTAATTTTTGTATAAATTTTCGCAATACAATAGAATATTGCAGATTAATGCATTGATAAACTTGAAGAAAAAGATTAATTTATAATCACTCAAGATAATCATTAGATAAGAATTAAATCACTTGACATACTATGTATATATATTCATCTACATTCAAATATAAATTATTGATATGCATTAATATATATTTAGTAATTATTTTATACAATTAAATAATTTAATCAATCAATTTTGTATCGCATTCTTACATTATACAGATTAATTTCAACACTCTTGACATTTCCCATCATACAAAAGATGCATATATACAAAATTCAAACGCAAGTACATAGCCAAAATTAACATTCAGAACACAGAAAAGTATTATAGAGTAGAATATAACAATTATTACAATTCGCTAATTAAATAATTTATGTTATAAAAATAATATCAATGTTTCTAATTTTATTTTTAATTTTAGAACTAATATTTCGGATATATAATATAACATTACATGTTATATAGAAATTCATTGATATTAATTATTATACTTTGTGATGCAAATATTTTTTACTATTATGATTATGATCATAAGAATAATAATTTACATAAAATATTTTAGTATTGTCGTCCTCCTTTGCCTCCTCCACGATTATATCCACGTTGATAATTATCTGCTCCAGAATTCGAGCCGCTTTGATTCCAACCTCCTTGAACTCTACCTCCTCTTCCTCTACCACTACCTCCTCTTTGATACTGTTGTCCACCTTTATATTCAGATTTATATCCTAAATAAATTGATTATTAAACAATAATTTGATTAACATTCTTGTATACAAATCACAATTATTATAAACGTTTATATCCTATATTTTTACTATTATCTGTTTTCTTAAATCAATTACCTCCATCTCTGCTGTCTCCACTGTAACTATTATTCCCACCACCTCCATAACCACCTCCTTGTCCTCCGCCATATCCACCTTTTTGTCCTCCTCCATAACCACCTCCTTGACTTCTTCCTCCATAACCACCTCCTTGACCCCCTCCTCCATAACCACCCCCTTGTCCTCCTCCACCATAACCACCTCCTTGGCCCCCTCCTCCATAACCACTCCCTTGGCCCCCTCCTCCATAACCACCACCTTGCCCTCCCGCTCTGTAACCACCTCCCTGTCCTCCCCCTCTATAACCACCTCCTTGTCCTCCCCCATAACCACTTCCTTGTCCTCCTCCCCCTCCATAACTACCTCCTTGTCCTCCTCCTCCTCCTCCTCCATAACTACCTCCTTGGCCTCCTCCTCCCCCATAACTACCTCCTTGCCCTCCTCCTCCTCCATAACTACCTCCTTGGCCTCCTCCTCCCCCATAACTACCTCCTTGCCCTCCTCCTCCTCCATAACTACCTCCTTGGCCTCCTCCTCCCCCATAACTACCTCCTTGCCCTCCTCCTCCTCCATAACTACCTCCTTGGCCTCCTCCTCCCCCATAACTACCTCCTTGCCCTCCTCCTCCTCCATAACTACCTCCTTGACTTCCTTTATAACCACTACCTTGACCTCCTTTATAACCACCTCCTTGACCTCCTTTATAACTACCTCCTTGACCACTTTTATAACTTCCTTGTCCTCCTCCATATCCACCTCCTTGCCCTCCCCCATATCCACCTCCTTGCCCTCCTCCATATCCACCTCCTTGTCCTCCTCCATATCCACTTCCTTTTCCTCCTCCATATCCGCTTCCTTGTGCTCCTCCATACCCTCCTTGTTTTTCTCCATATCTTCCTTGTCCACTATATCCACTATTAGAAGCGTAACTGCTATCTCCATAACCAGCATTACCACTATATGAATTTTTATCACTATTATAAGAATTAGAAGTTTGAAAATTGCTGCCACCTCCACGACCGCCGCCTCTACCTCCTCGTCCACCTCTAAAACAACATAAAAATATATATATCCATTCAAATTTATCTAAATTTATTTTATTTAATTTAACTTACCCAGAAGTTGAAGGTCCAGGTACTCGATCTTTTTGCCAAGGTGGCATTTCAGGCGGTGGAGGTTCTTGTTCATACGGTCTTCCACCTCTATCTGGTACCTCTCCTATAATAATTTTATTAATTTCAGTTTGAGTATTTTTCCTAACACTTGCATTGCTTGTTTTCTCCATTAATGCAATATCATCTCTCGCTGCTAATAAATCAGCAAATGTAACATCTGGTTCTGCAGTTAGAAGTTTCCTAGTTTCTTCATATTGTCTATTTAATTCAGCTTCTTGAGGTTTTATTCTATCTGACCACTATATTTAAAAGTATAAAGCACATGTTTTTAGATAACATAAAAATATTAGTAGCTTTTATAATTCTAGCTTAAAAATATATATATTTACTAGAAAAGACTGCACTGTTACATCAAGCCTCTTGAGCAACATATCACGACGCATTCGATACTCATCATGTAACTCTTGTTGTATATGTTCAAGATCGTTCCAGTCTTCTTCTGAGAATTCATGAGTAATTAATGGTTGCCCTACCAATTCAGAAGGGGCTGTTTTTAACACTTCAGTCAATTTGTTATGCAGTCTTGTAAAGAGCTTCTCAGTAGTGATATCATCTGGTGGTCTCTCAAAATTTAAAGCTATTAACATATCTTTAAGATCTTTAGCTGTATCACTCTCTTCCTATAAAAAATATATATATTTTTTAATAAAACTATAAGATCATTTATATATTTTAATCGTATTTTAATGAAAACTTACAACAACAATCGTTGAACTTGAACTTGCAGCTGTTGAACTAGAACTTGCAGCTGTTGAACTAGAACTTGCAGCCGTTGAACTAGAACTTGCAGCTGTTGAACTAGAACTTGCAGCCATTGAACTTGAACTTGCCGCCATTGAACTTGAACTTGCAGCCGTTGAACTTGAACTTGCTGCCGTTGAACTTGAACTTGAACTTGAACTTTCATGCTTCCTAAATTCTAATAATCTGGAAGTTTTCAGTTCTGCTCCCAAAAAATCTAATAAGATACATCTATCCTGTTCAGTTGCTAGTCTTGTATTAACATTACCAGTCATTAATCTCTTATTCATACATCCTAATTCTTTAAGAAAACAGCTTAACTCTAATAGGAAAGAACTAGAATCATCTGGAGACACTATTGCATGGATGGCTTCATCCATATCATTGAGTATTGCAAGTTCATCTGCAAACCATGCTACAAGCTGTGTAAATTCTATTGATTTTGGACCTTGTTTTAGAGCCTCTTTAAATTTACTAGGATCTGTTAGCTGACCATTGTATCTGTAAAATAAAAGAATTTTTTAGACGATACAATCAATAACACTAATATTAATTATGGAGTTACAAAGAATCACACTAATAATTTTGTGTTCAATTAAAATTTATTAAATGCATGTAAATAAAGAATTGTCCTCGAATATTGTATAATATTAATTCTTAATATATGATTAAGTATTAATTCATTAGTTGCCATCATGCCTATTTCAAAATCATGATAAAATAAAATTTGAATATCACAGCATTAATTACGATATTCACATGGGAATGGTTTTTTGAAGTATACTTGTTTTAAACTACTAAAAAACCAATAAACGTTTATAAAATTATATGATCTTGAAAAAAAATTTGTACAATAGTATAACATTCAACATCATAACCTCATACATACCCAAGTTTTTGTATCCTCTCCAGTAATCTAAGTTCCATTTTGACAAAACCTTCAATCGAATAAAACAAATAATTGTTACCGAAATATAAAATGTCTTAATGAAACCAAAATAACACGTACTTACAACAAAAATATTAATAAATTACATACGATACCTGTTTTTGCCGTATACACTGTCAATATGCCACAAGATTCTGTAATATAGAATATAGAGTATGAAAGAAATGTGGATGTCGTATTATAGGTAACAACATAAATAAGGTATACATATTATACCACATTTACGTTTATATCATCTTCACGATATTACCAATTTCATTTTGAATCTTTTAATAATTTGATTCATATTCATAAGAATTGAAATAACTTTGTATTGATAGAATTATAATCAACGAAATTTTTCGTTGAAAAAAACTTTATTTAAAGAGGTCTAATTATGTCCCCGTAAATAATTTTAAATGATAAGAATATACATACAATTGTATGAAATAAATCAGTTATAAAATGTAATACAGTTTTCGATATGTAAAATTCATACCTTTATTAAAATATTTTGTTTAGAAAAAACAAATATATATAATCTAATATAATTGTATCTTGCAGTAAAAAAATGTCCTAAAATTATACTTGCGTCTTACTAATTGATCGAAATTTTGTCCTACCGACCATTGCCATTTATTGAAAATTCGTCCCCTAAGCAAAATTATGATATACATATACATATATTTTCCATTTAACTTCTATTTGAGTGTTTTTATCCATATATAATATGGAATATTATTATTCGTTTCGTGCTAAGGCAAAATTTTACACAACATAGATCCCTTATTTATTAACATGTCAATTTCGAACTCCTGCTTAGTTAACAAAGCTAAATAGATAATTTGATATTTTCAAATTTGCTTTCGAGTTTTTGTGCACAACTACTTATGCTTTTATAAAATATTCATTATATTCAATTTCATATCATATTAGATACAGAATACTTGTTTAGGAATGTGTAAGACGAAGTTGCTCTATACTCTCCTCGATATGTTTGATAGACTTATTCTAATTTTTCATTCAGCTTTTTTCTTTTTCTAATGAAATTGCCGATATGTTACGTTCTCATTGATTTGAATGATTTTTAAGCATATTGTAGAAATTAACATTTTGAACTTCTTGTGCATACAACTATCGAACTCGCTTAGTTTCGAAGATATTTGGAAAAAATTGTCGGTACCACATAATATATATCCAAACCCAATTCTTATCTCTTGTTTATGTAAATATATAAATATGTGTACTGCCGATTAGTTTGAGTTATCTCGTACTACATATGTTATCCGGTAGCCGTCAACAAAAACTGACACATATGCATATGTACTATCACGGACGCACAATTACGAACAGAATTCATTGTAGTGGTACCGACAATTTTTTTGCAAATATCTCGAAAACTCAGTCAGTGCGGCAATTATACACATATGTACAGGAAAAAATTGTTTAAAATACTGATTTTTAAAACATATTCAAAAATTATCGAAATCGGAAAGGTATATTGACAGATTAATCGGCAGATTGACCCTTTTTTTTTTATTATAAATTTCTCCGTTGTTTAAAAATTTTATATTTTGATACTCTTATATAAATATTTTTGTAGATTTTGAAAAATTTCCGCAGATTTAATTACAAATAATTTATAATCAATTCTAGATTCTAGAAAATCTTTAAATTTGTGAATTATATGTTCTAATTGTATTGGAATAGATTAAACTAACATACAAGTATGTAAAATACCCAATATTGCGTTTATAATTTCAGTTATATTTATTTTTTGTTCTGATTATCACTGACATTTCTTGAGTATATATTTATTTTTTATATTGTACATAAGTGAATTGCAATCACTAATAAAAAATTTACAAAGGGAAATGATAAATAAAATTGCATCATGATTATAAAAGTAAAAACATGTAGATTTTTAGTGTATCATACTTACAAAGTTTTTAGCATATCATACTTACAAAGTTAATTTTAAAATATGCGTAATTAACATTACAATTAATATGTACAAATATTTTAATTTGTTGAGAATTCCAAAAGAATAATAGCAGATTATTCCTAAATTTAACTTAGGAATGATTATTGCCATTTGTATCTAATAATTTATTAATACTGGCATATCTTCAAATGTTAATTTTCATTTACATTGCCAGTAACTTTACATTTATATACTTGCAATATTTTACAATATTGTTATTTATACATTATTAATGAATCATGACAATATGACAATGTTTCATATTAATAAACATTATTAAATTTTACACCTGTATTTAAGTATATGGATATAACAGAATTGTCTTAAAATTCTGTTATAGATATGTTGTTGTTAAATAAACAAATGTTATAAATCTTGATTTAACAAATAGAATTAAATATTTTATTATACCTGTGGCACAAAATTTCAAAATCAATTTTATAATCTAATGTGTTGATATAATTTATGCCTTTATATTATTAATTTATCTATTTTATAAAAATCGATAAATATTGACAAAAAGAGATGACGTCGACTTTGATATATTAACAAAAATTAATAAAAAAAATATTTGCAGAAGTCGAAATTTGTAAAATAATCTAATAATGAAAACTTAATAGCTTACAAAGAAATAGCTCTATATTATATACTTATATGTACATTTAAATAAACAAACAAGTTTTAGGTAGTCACAAAGTAAAATTTTGATATATTAAATTAATTGTTTAGTCCGTTCTGCTCATTATTTCAAAAGCAATAATGATATGTTTATCAAAAATATAAAATCTTTTAAGTAAAAAAATAAATAAATAATTAGTATGCATTTTTTCTCCAACCAACCGGTTCCTGCCGGCCGAAATTTATCTAACTCGAACCAATAATCGAAACAAATCATCACTTTTTAATAGAAAATTATCGGTATTAGTTTGGACTAGATAAGTCTCTAATCTAGATGGAAGTTAGCCGGAAACACTGTAAAATTAATTAGTTTTTGAGAAATAACGAGCGATGGCTAAAACGTTTTGAAAGTTGTTTAGGAGAATATTCCTCTTGAATAAGAGAACATATATTGAATAATAAATAACATATATCAAGGTCAATGTCATTGGGGCTGGGTCTCCTTTTCTCAATATTTACCTAAAAATTTTTATACTCTGAAAAATCTTTACAGTCTAATTTTTTTTATTTTTTATGAATTTAGTATTATAATATACATATTTATACATATGTAATAGCGTACATCACGATTCAACTTAAACAATTCTATGTGACTGGCAAATTGTACATTTAATCTTTATGTATAGATATAAATATTAGTCTAGTAGTATACATTTAAATTTATTTTGAATGGTGCTTTGGCAAATATGTTTTCATAGCACCATAAATGTGCATTTTCATTGTGAAGCATATAATTTTAGCTAATCTTTGTACTACTTCAATCCATTTATACTTCAACCATGAAATGCAAAATATAATTCTTCTGTAAAACTTTAACAACACTTTTGAATGAACAAAATTTTTCTAAATATAATAAATAAAAATGTTCTTTTTTCTGAATCTTTTAATATTAATCTAGATATTTAATACAAAAGACAGTAACAGTCATTTATCAAAATGAAGTTATTAAGATTATATAATTTTGTATTACTTCCTGACTGATAAAATAAGCCAGATGATAAAGCTTTCATTTTTACAATTTGTACATTAATTTAGTGAATTAAAATTTTGAATCTCATTATGCAACCAATAATTAGTTATCTATATTTCCTTCATAGAAGGATTCACATTTTTCTAACAAACGTAGAACTGGATTTATGTTATAAGGAAACAAATCTTTTGATACTAATCTATCAATTGCTAAACGAAGTCTTATCAATATTGTCATGGTATCATCTAGCTCTCTTCCACAACAAGAAACAAATTCTGTCCAATTTCTTTTAACATATTTCAAAAATCTCAATAAGTACAATAAGAAACAGGTCTCATTACTGACAAGTAAATCTAATAAAACATCTGGGTCATGTGATACAGCATGTATAAATTGTATAAAAGTTAATGTTGGACTAAGCATATGACCAAGATCATTTTGTGGAGGTCCCCTATAAAATAAACCAACAGCTACATCTAAACAACATACCATGCCTTCAATTAAAAAATCATCTTGATCATGAAACATTTGTACAACCCACTGTGATAAAGGCATTTCAGGATGAAATGGCATTAATGTCTTAACACATTGATCAAGTTGTCTTAAAACTTCTCTAATACTCCTCTCAATAACTGCCATATCAGCATCAAGATCTTCTGCTTCAGAGCCCAAAGAAGAGTCACTAGAATCGCTGCGTGTTTCTTTAACAGTCACAGCAACACTTTTTAAAACTAAGAGCACTATTTTTTGTAGAAGAGGGCGGTCACCTTCGCCAGATCCTCCTCCAAATCTTCCAGAGCCATGTCTATATGGTAAAGCATCCAGTAATCTCCAATCTTTTACAGCTCTTACAATCAGGTGTGCAAGAGAACAAGGTTCATCTGGCAATATATCTTGTAATGCCAAAGTACTTCCATAACATAATATTTCATTAAATAGCCCAAGTAGATGTCTCCAAATTACACCAGGAACATTAGCATTTAAAAGTACAACCAGGTTATCTAACTGAGAATAAAAAAGTTTGGTGTCAATAACAGACAAGTTGGCTTTAACAGAAATAATGGATTCCCATAAATCAAGGAATGTAATGACAGCTGATTCATGTTGTGGCGTATATGAACTCAAAATAGCATCAAATTTTGATACTAGTATAGTCCATTTAGACTCTAATGCTTTAACACACATTGCTTTTACTGGTGTACTGTCAAAACTTTCTGCATCTGAAATTGATATTGTATTACAATGAGATGGCGGTACTATACTGTCTGTATCTTCAAGAGGGTGAATACTGCAGTCCTTGTGTTCTACAACTCTTTTTACAACATCCAAGGTAAATAGCATTTGGCTCGGAGAATGTGTATTCACTAAAGATTGTGTTAATCTTTCCAACCATGCTGTATCAATATTTTCCTTTGTTATAATAAAAAATGATGCAAGAACTCTGCTAGCAGCAAATGATATAAATTTATTTGTTGTACACGATAGGTCAATTATTTGATCTATAATGCCATGCTCATTTCGCGCTAGCGCATCACAAACATCTACTACTCTTTTGCACATAATACCTCTAATATTTTGTTTAATAGCTAAGTCAAATAATAGCTGTAAAGCGCTCATGAATTCCAAGGTTTGATCAGGTTCCCATTCTGATAATAAAGAAGATCTAAACGTGCCATCTGCAGCTTCCACTGTTGTACTAGTGAATGGTTTACGTAAACTACTTTCTGGTATATTGCATAAGCATTGTGCCAACAGACTATTCTGTAATTGTTCAATATCTGATAATGTATCTTTTTCAACTTCATTGTTTTCAATACGTTGTTTCTTCTTTGCTGGTTCCTCCATTATGTTATTAGGAGGATAATAATAACAGTGCCAAAGCACCATTAGCAGCACTATTCTCGCTGCTTTCTTCTTTTATAATATTTTGTCATCAGGTTTTTGAAATTTAGCCAACATCAGCTTATTGTATGTACAGTCATAAATATACCAGAAACTACAGTACACCTGTATTAACAAATAAAAACAAAATATTAAGATAAACTCTTTGGAAACTGATTACTCTTCTACAGTATTAAATATTTTTTACTATATTAGATATTTAAATATTAATATTCTTTTACTTTATTTTTTTCTAAATACTCAAAAATGTACTTTGTTTCAGGGCATAAAAAATTTTTAACTGACATTTATATTATCTGATAGTATTAATTTTGAATTTTAATTCAAAATTTTTAAATTTAATATAAACTCAAATCAAGCCATGATCTAATTCAAACTTAAGTTGGCGTAAAATCTGATCTAATTCTTTAATTCAAATTCAAATAAAATTTATTTAAAAATTCAACATTGTATGTGATTTACTATTTGTAAGTGTATCCTTCTGCACAGAATCCAACGTCTGTATCTTTTGAAGTAAGTAAAAGCAAGTTTCAAATCCAAAGTTTGTCAAGTTTAAAACCGATATTTTTGGACTTTGTTATATATCAGAAAATATATTGATCAGTCAAAGATTTGTAGCCACCTAAAACAATGCCTTGGCTGAAACAAATATTATAAATATACTCTATTACAGAGTAGAATTTTTATTATCAAATAATAGTTAAAATACTGTTTGTAAAAGAATTTTTATAATGTTATAATATAAATAAAGAAAGCAAAGAATAATATTGAAACTTACAGTCAGAAGTGACCTCTAATTTTTTATTAAATTTACAAAATGTTTATAAATTCCAACACTTTTATAGGTTTTACATAAATAAGTGTGTGTGTGTGTGTATGTTTACAGATTCGTTCGTATATGCGTATATTTTCCTTACGTGCCGCGTAATTGATCAATTAATTGATGCATGTGGCACTTTTGCAATTGAATTTCAAATAATACTTGTCCTCGAGTTCATTTATAAGATGCCAACCGTAAGGTGTTTAACACAGGTTGCACATGTAATATATAAACCGACGCTTGGTGATACGTTAATACGCACACAGAAATATTCTCTACCAATATATTGACAGACAGTTGAAATATATCAAGTGAATATTCCACGGTATTCCTGTCAAGCTGTATCGTACTCCACTATTTTAATGGTGTAAATATATTATTGTTTGTGCCCGAAGAATTTCTTTTGACTAGGAAGTGACAGAGCACTCGGACAACTTTGCTCTGTTGCCACGTATACGTGCTACCGAGTAAAAATAAGAAATACGGATTTATATTGCTTAGCCGTAAATCTGTTCCAATTAAACAGTTCATATCTCACGTCGAGCGGTAAAATGTCAGCTTGATGGTGCCTAAGACACGAATTCTTCGTGTTTATTACGTATTTTTTGGATGGCATCATGCAGAGCTGCGTAACACAGTAGCTCCTCCTCGCACATTCCACAATGTACTAAGTACGAATTATTGTAATTGCTTGAACAATAGACTGCAGATTATTGCCATACCTTGTTAAATATTCATTAAATGCCTATCCTATCATTTTTCGTAATAAGAATAATCAAAATCAAAAAGTCGTATAATAAATACACGAGATGATCGGCAACTCTGCATCGATCGCAGCGCTCGAAGATCGATGCGTATTCTTATTTATTTCTACAATTTCTATTTTAACGATTCTAACTTAAAACTATAAATAAAACGATGTATATCAAAAGTCACGCCGACGAAAGAAAAGTTGATAGAATCTTTGATAGAAGACGGGAAGATTAAAAAATAATTAATCGTTCTACGTTCTTTATTCCATTTATTATATGGCCGAACTCATCATTTACGAAATTAGCAATAAACGTAAAATTCTTTTCTCTTGTCAATTAAAAGTACAGATCACTTGTTAGAAAATTTACTACATAAATTTATTACTGTCGGAAGATTTATTTAGGAATATCAGGAATTAGTCTTAAATATTGAACTAATGAATTAAAAGTGATTCGTGTGATCCTTGCAGGAATAATGAATTACAAATAATACGAATCTTGTATCTCACGATTTTTAATTCTACTTTGAAATTATAAAAAGATTTGTTTCGTTTATTTCGATCGATCGATCAGCCCCTAATTCATGGGTGGACGAAACGAAATATTTACTCTGGATTATTAATATTTGAGAAAAAGGAGAGAATATTACAAGCTGATCAATAGGCAAACCGATTTCTATGCGAACTCGCTTTGTCGTGGCTGCGAGATAAGGCGTATCTACATGTTGAACTGTCATAGGTATTTTCAATGACGTAGAGCCATATTTTTTTCTATATGGGGCCTGCTAGGGGGTCAACCAAATTGTCAGGGGCTCGGGGGTGATAATGCAAGATGTTTTGTGATAAACGAATGGTGTGCATAATAAACGATTAAGCCAATATTACAGCGGGACGCGTCGTTTCGGCAGATATGCTCGAGTCGTTTGAGCAAGCGATCCGGATCGGCAAGGGATAAGCCTTTCACTCAAAACATCATCTCTCACATGCGATAGGAATTTTACGTTGCGATAGAAATTTTAATCGGGGATGAGAGTGTAGTGCCGCGCGGAGGTTATATCCAGACAATTAGGACAATGCCCTTGCGAGATTTATCTACGTTTTATTCTATAACTATCAACATTTAAACGAGAAATACTGTATAGTCCCGCTATACAGTACCTATATTACTGCGAGCGATACGAGTTGTCTTGGTGATTCTGTTGAATTCGTCGATCGCGCGAATGCGGTGCCATACCCCGTTGCACTATTTTTGTCTGTACGTTTTATTTACACGTATTTCTCTTGTTGCGTGTTTTCTTCGCCAAATATTTTGGCTATCTTTATAGCAGTTACGTAATTTCCGACGTGAGTAATTCCGGTACGATGGCCGATGATGAATTAAATGAAACTCGATTGTTTTACACGTAGTGACATGTGGACATACGTACATACCACGCTGAGTTAAAGGGAATTGATTTTTGACATTCTTTGCATAAGGGTAAAACAAGCTCAAAGCGTGCTGATAATATATATATATACACACACACACACACACACACACACACACACACACACATATACATATATACATATATACATATATGTACCGATAACATGAACGGGGAAATGACCGCTGCACCGTTGTAAACAAAATTAATGTTTAAACAGTGAAAGTGATCCTATTTAGATATGTCTATTGGAAATTATCTTCTTCAGGTAAATGATTAGCATACAATTTTACTTGTTAGATAACATCTGTATTTCAATGTTTTTAACTGATCGTTTAAGTACTTGTAAATATAAGGATGTAGCAACGGGCTATTTTTTGAAGTCTATTTTATTTCTGACAAACGATTAATTTTATTTAATTGATGACATTACAATTGGCAATTTTTATCAGATATTTTTAATTATATCCTCCGTATTTATAATTAAGCACTTGTCAAATTTGGTGGAATGAAATGAAGAGATCAAATTAACATATATATGTATATTGAATAGTTAACAGTAATTAACATAAAAACATTTTGAATGTTTAATTTATGTATTATTTATGTTCAAAATATGTAGTATAATTATAGGTTTAGGTTATATGTAATTATAAGTTTTTATATCATATTTTATACATAAAAAATAAATAGCAAATGTTTTAGGACAGTCATCACATCATAATGTGGTGGTTTGAGATACTGAACAATATTATTAAAAATGACAGAAATAGTATCGAAGAATTTTGGTAAAGGACAACCTTTTCAAAAAAGAGACATGTCAGATTCGTCGCAGCATCAACCTCCTCCTGATATTATGCCAAAGGGACTTGCAATCAATGGTATATTGTCAATTTTTTAAGTAAAACATATCAAAAAAATGATTAAAAAATAATGAATAATTATTTTTTTGTTATTAAATTATTATTATTTTATAGGCATAGGAGGAAGGTTACGCCAATTAGAATCCCTTTTTATTAGTGGTCCTGTACAAGGAGAAGGAAGAGTGGGCCACACATTTTCTATTGAGACACTTATTGATATTTTGCTCGTCTTGTATGATGAGTGTTGTAATTCTTCCCTAAGGCGTGAAAAGACTGTCTCGGATTTTATTGAATTTGGTACATTATATACATATATATAACATATATTTTTTAAAAATTTATAGTTTCATATTAAAATTCATATATCTCTTTATAGTAAAACCAGTAGCTACTTGCATTAAGAGTTTGCAATTAGCACGAGAGGATTTTGAAATAGTAAAAGTTATTGGTAGAGGAGCATTTGGTGAAGTATGTGTTGTAAGAATGCGTGGTTCTGACAAAGTATTTGCAATGAAAATTTTAAACAAATGGGAAATGCTAAAGCGTGCGGAAACTGCATACTTTAGAGAAGAGAGAGATGTACTGGTATATGGTGATCGCAGGTGGATCACAAATCTTCATTATGCCTTTCAAGATGACAATAATTTGGTAATTTTTCTAACTATTATTAATAATAATTATAAGCAGTTATAAAGATAAGAGTATCTTATATTTTCTAAATAATCATGTGTAGTACTTGGTCATGGATTATTATTGTGGTGGAGATCTGTTAACACTATTGAGCAAATTTGAAGATCGCCTTCCTGAAGATATGGCACGTTTTTATATAGCTGAAATGGTTCTAGCTATTGGGTCCATACATGACTTACGTTATGTACACCGTGATATTAAACCTGATAATGTTTTGTTAGATGCAAATGGTCATATTAGATTAGCAGATTTTGGATCTTGTTTACGATTGTTTGAAGATGGCACTGCACAAAGTAACGTTGCTGTTGGTACACCAGACTATATTTCACCAGAAATCTTAAGGGTAAAATTATATTTTTATATTAATTTAAATACTATTTTTATAATTTTTAAGTTACATATTAATTATTTATTAATTAATTTTGTTATTTATTTATTTATTAGTTTTTAGTATTGATTAATGTTTTATTAATGAAGAATGCATTGAAATTCATGTAGGCAATGGAAGATGGACAAGGACAATATGGGCCTGAATGTGATTGGTGGTCTTTAGGAGTGTGCATGTATGAAATGTTATATGGAGAAACACCATTTTATGCAGAATCTCTAGTCGAAACTTATGGAAAAATTATGAACCATAAGGTTAAAAAATAATTTAAATTACATTTATAAAAATTGGACATAATATTATTATAATGATTATATATATAAATTATTCATATTAATATATATGTATTTTATTTCATTTCAGAATTGCTTTGACTTTCCAGCAGATGATATGTATGAAGTTTCTGAAGAAGCTAAGGACTTAATGAGAAAATTAATATGTAGTTCGGAATTTAGATTAGGTCAAAATGGAATTGATGATTTTAAGGTATTAATGCGTAATATGTTAGTTTAAAAAGCATAATGTTAGTTATAATTGATTTAAATTTAATATATTTAACTTTAATTTTATAACACAGAAACATCCGTGGTTTGAAGGAGTAAATTGGGAAACTCTTAGAGATAGTACTGCACCTTATATACCTGAGGTTTCTTCACCAACTGACACATCAAACTTTGATGTTGATGATACAGATGTTCGCAGTTCTGATGCTGTTCCACCAGCAGCAAATTCTGCCTTTTCTGCACTTCATTTGCCATTTGTTGGTTTTACTTTCACTCAAGGAAGGTTAGCAGTATTTTTTTTTCTTTATATTCATAAAAAGAAATATATTTCATACGTTTCTGTATTTATAAATTACAGTTGCATATCTGATCTGGGTTGCTTATCTATTATAACTCAAAAGGATAAACGTGTGCAGATATTAGAGGAAGAAAATGCACAATTAACACAAGCTCTTGAAGATTTAAAAAAACAAATTAGTCATTCTCCTCCTGGAATATCGCCAGATTCTAATAATGCAACAAGAAAACTTCAGGATGAAATAAATACACTTACTAAACGCAACTGTGGTATGAATATACATATTTAAATACTGTCATAATAAATATACGAATACTTAATCATATTATTATTCCATAACATTTCTTTACGTTTTTAGAATTAGAATCACAGTTAAAATCTATGGAGGTCCCTCGTGAATTACGCAATTTAGATAACGGCGATATGACAAAATTACGGGAATTAGAAAAATTAGTACGCTCTCTTCGATCAGAAAAGGAAGAAGCTATTAAAGATAAGTTAGATACTCAGGAGAAGCTTAAACTTCAGGATAAAGAATTGAAGGACGCATTAACACAGCGTAAACTAGCAATGGCTGAATATACCGAAGTTACAGACAAATTATCAGAATTAAGACAACAAAAACAGAAGTTATCCAGGCAAGTTAGAGATAAAGAAGAAGAATTAGAAGTTGTAATGCAGAAAGTTGACAGTTTACGACATGACATTAGAAAAGCAGAAAAGTTACGTAGGGAATTAGAAAATCGAGTTGAAGAGGCAATGGCTGAAACGAGTAAAGAAAGAAAATTAAGAGAACGCAGTGAAGAATATTGTAAACAAATGCAAGAGGAAACAGAAAAAATTAGACAAAGGTCTATGGGAAATGATGCGAGTGCAAATCATGCATTAGCGACGCAAGAAATTAATAGGTTAAAAGCAGAAGTTGAAACACTCGAAGTTCAATATAATGAAAATTTGAACCAACAACAAAGTAGGTTCAATCTTGAAATTCGTAGTCTTCAAGAACAATTGCATGAAGCTGAAACCAGGAGAGATTTATTGGAAAGGGAAATTCAATTAACGAAAGAAAAACTAGATAATGCAAGATTAGAAAATATTACTGATAGTGAGGAAACTATAAATGAATTAAACAGACGTCACGAAAGGGAAAAAATTATGCTAGTCGAAGAAAACAAAAAACTTATGTTAGAACTTAGCACTCTTACCGATAGTGTTAATAGAATACAAGGTGAAAGGCGACAATTAGAAGAAGAATATGAAGAATTAAGAAACAAAAAGGAAGCTATTGCACAATGGGAAGCTCAGATTACCGAAATTATTCAATGGGTATCTGATGAAAAAGATGCCAGAGGATACTTGCAGGTTTGTCCTGTTTAGTTTATTTTTTCATTGATGATGATCTTAAAAACTGTTTAATTTTATACTTGAAAAATTCTAGGCATTGGCTACAAAAATGACAGAAGAATTAGAATTTTTAAAACATTCTGGTGGTGTAGGTGGGGTAGGAAGTGGTTCTACAATGGCAGATAAAAATTGGCGAAATCGTAGATCACAGAAGCTTGATAAAATGGAACTTTTGAACCTACAAAGTTCTTTACAAAGTGAAATACAAGCTAAGCAGGCAATATCTGAAGAACTTACAAAGACACGTTCAGATTTAATTGCTGCTCAAAAGTAATTACTTTAAGTATATTAATGACAGAAATATTTTTGTTCATTTAAATATTACTAATATGATTTCATAACGGCAAATTATTGTATATCCACAGGGAATTAAGAGATTTCAGACAACGGTTCGATACACTTACACATGAGATAAAACGTAAAGAAATGCAAATAAAAGAGTTGCAAACGAGGCTTGACGCAGGCGATGGCTGTAAGTACATTTCATTTAACACTGTTACAAAAAGAAATTTCGTAAAAATGTTATTGTTACGTTTTTATAAAAATTCCGTATCAACTATTATTATACAAACCGCTGTGATACATGCTATGTATGTAATTTGTAAATCTTTTAATCTTTCTCGTACAGTGTTTAGGCGGTGAATATATCTGTTCAATGTTTTTATTTTGTAAAAAATTCTGTATTATTCTAAGTACTTTGTTATGACGCGAGTTGTATAACTTTTATATACTATTAGTTGAATGTTCATAATAAATACATACAAAATTTATTTATTAGATACATAATACCATATGTAATTTAAATATTGTTCTTATATAAATGTGCTAGATTGTTTTATTAGTAATCAAATTTGCATGCATATAGCAAAAGGTCAACAAAATCAAGAAATTGTTATAGAAAATATATAACGGGAGTCATATATATTATTCATATTTCTTTCAAGATAAATTTTTTACATTTGCTTGTTAATTCTTATTTTTGTCTCTTTCAATAATAAAAGTTTGTAGTGAAGATGTATGGATGTTATATATGATTCTTTACACTTGCATATTTATAATATCATGATTATAATAACATAATATTATTTTTATATTATACCTAAAATTGCAAGCCATTAGAGTTAGAATTATAATTTAACAATCTCTTCAATTTTAATAGAAACTATAGAATTTGTAAAAACTGTAACTATACATATAAATACTTTTTTTTTTGTAGTTTGTTTTAGTTTAATTAATGGCTTGATATTAAATTGGTATGAATCAATGTGTGATCATTTAAAAAAATTTTTTTTATAAATGTGAATATTAATAATTGGTGTGTATATGACTGATATTTATATATATTTTAAGACATAGTTATAAATATATATAATTATGAAATATATGTAACATATATTTCATAATTGATCATATAAATTCTTTTATAATATTATTTAAAAATGCATGTAATATTAAAATGTATCATAATTAATTAGATATTAGGTACAAATGAAGATTAAATATATATGTATTGGAATAATTCAGTTATTTCGGAGAAACATAAGGCACTTGATTTTTAGAATTTGATGTTCTCTGAGATTGTCAGGTTCATCTTAATATTTTAACAAAATATTTTGCCTACATTATACATTATATACTTAAGTACTTCTATAGTTATAATTGCTATAAAAACTATTGCCAATACTTATTTTACCAATAATAGAGATCGTTACTATTTGGATAGCTATCCAGCATAGTAATTCGGTTCTCCGGTACGGTATGCGATTCTGATTTCTAGACTACAAAGTGCCTCTGTTTATTGGCGTAACGAGCTGTGTCTGGGGCCTCTTGTTGCTCATCTTCAAACTGTATTTGTGACAGCTGTCCTATCCAGCAAAACGTCAAGACAATCTTCAAACATCGTTAGCACCAAACCCCAACGTATCATCGTACATCAGCCGCCATCACCCCTACCAGTAATGCGTGCATCCCGCGTCACGACATGTCGCTTATTAACTAGATTCGTTCCCGTCAACACATTCATCAGTCAGAATGCCGTCGCCATCGTATCGCCACCCGGTAAATGAAGTGGCAACAAAACGCGATTTTGATTGATTAGTCAGCTGGGATGCTAATTACAAAACATAGTGCTATGTTTTTTATGAGTACAAATGGTACAAAAAATATTAAACATTCTGTGTAAAGGAAGCAGCAAATGTATCCGGATGACTCTTGTCTAAAACATAGCTTTATGTTAACTTTAATTTCAATTACTCTGAAAATCAGTTATGTGTTTTTTGTATGTTGGAAATAATCATCCCCCAATTAAGGATAGTCTCAGTAGCTTTTCATCGTCTTAGGTGATGGTTGTCCCTTTGTTAATCATAGTAGCTGATAATTACTCGGTTTTGTAATTAAATGATTAACAGGTATGTTGTGTCTGAATGCCTTTAGATTGTTTGATCTGATTGACTTCTTGATACATTTTATTACATGCTTGCTATTTCTGCTGGTGAACAATCATCAACCCTTATCTGCATAATAACGGTTACTATTTTAACAGAGTTTGTGTGGTGTAAATTGCAGTGCCGTGATTATATTAAAATATTCAAAAGATATGAAATTTACGTTGATTTATGTATTTACTTTGTAGAAGAGAAACATAATTCTTTACTTTTACAGTTTTTTGTATATTAATAGATCATAGATTAAAATATTATGAATATTTTTTTTTTAATTAATTTAACATTATTAAAATAATTTCAACTTCTTATAACTTAAGAAAAAAATGTTATAATTTTATATTTTATTAATTGTCAATATTTTTTTTCTATATTTCAGTTTTAGAACGTCCTACATCTCAAATGTCATATTTAGAACATTTCCTGAAAGAAACTGCAAGCAGTACACGTCATGGAAGTGCAGACAGTGTAGAAGCCGATATCGAAGACAATCGAGCACCAAGTATTTCCAGCAGTAAAAGCAACTTATCTGAACTCAGTATTGTAAGTATCATTTTTTTTTCTAGATTTAAGAAAGATTAATATTTTAAGTATTATAATCTAATATATACTAAATTCTAGGATCCTACGTCCCCGTTATCTCATGAGCTTCTTAATAAATCATCGACATCTCATGGACAAACCAATCTTCAACCAAAACCAAAATCTCATCAATTTTTAGTAAGAACATTTTCAGCGCCTACGAAATGCAATCATTGTACTTCACTGATGGTAGGTTTAACCAGGCAAGGAGTTGTATGTGAAGTTTGTGGTTTTGCATGTCACATGCCCTGTTGTGATAAAGTTCCATCAATGTGTCCTGTGCCACATGATCAAAGTAAGTTTTTTTAAAGAAATCATTTAATGTAATTTACTTTGATAGAATATAATTGTTCGATATGATATATTAATAAATAATTTTTTCAGCAAAACGACCATTAGGTATTGATCCTACACGAGGAATAGGTACGGCTTATGAAGGATATGTTAAAGTGCCAAAAATGGGTGGAGTAAAAAAGGGTTGGGTTCGTCAATTTGTGGTGGTCTGCGACTTCAAATTATTTCTTTATGATATTTCACCAGATCGTAATGCATTACCATCTGTTTATGTATCTCAAGTCTTAGACATGCGGGACGAAGAGTTTAATGTTAGTTCTGTCAGAGATTCGGATGTTATACATGCTACAAAGAAAGATATTCCATGCATATTTAGGGTAATATTCGAAACCTTTAATTGCTGTAATTTAACTATATATATGTATATATATATTCTTTTATGATTTATTTTTTATTTCATGTTCATTTAGATAACAACATCTCTGCTAGAACCACCTGGTTTAAGGAATCATACATTAATGCTTGCAGACACTGAGAGTGAAAAAACAAAGTGGGTAGTTGCTTTAAGTGAATTGCATAGAATATTAAAGAAAAACAATCTTCCTAATACAACGGTAAGTTGTACAACACATCCATGTATATATTAGGAAGATATCGCTCAGGTTCATTTATTTTTATTTATATTATGTTTTACGTTGCAGATATTTAGAGCAAAAGAATTATTAGATAATACATTGGCGCTAATTAAAAATGTGATGTCAGGAGCAATTATTGATCCAGATCGTCTAGTCATTGGTACAGAAGAAGGTCTCTTCTGTTTAGATTTAGATCGTAGCGGTACGTTGCAATCTATGTAACAAAAAATAACAGAATTATCATTTTATGATTAATTTATATTATGCGTTTAGAAATTGCAAGAGTAGGAGAAGGCAAGAAAATATATTTACTGGAATATGTAACAGAAGAACAATTAATAGTAGTTTTAAGTGGAAAACAACGTCATGTACGGCTGGTTCCAGTACGTGCATTGGATGGAGATGAAGTTGAATGGATTAAAGTCGCAGAAACTAAAGGATGTATAACATTAACGACCGGAATAGCCCATCGCAGTCCATTAACTTATTGTTTGTGTGTTGCCATAAAGAAGCAAGTAAGATATGTTATTATATAATATTGCATCATTAACCCGGGATTACCCACCTGGGGGTCTAGCGCAGGTACATCCCGGCGACTAGACCCTCGCGTGGGTAATCCCGGGTTAATATAATAGATATAGCTATAGTGCTATTTTTAATATTACTTTTTTTTTAAATTTAGAATGCATCACAAGTCATTATTTATGAAATTACGCGTACAAAAACACGTCATAAACGTATGCGTGAATTGATGTTATCGTGCCACGCACAAACTTTACAAGTTCTTTCTGAAGGTCGCTTTTGTGTTGGATACCCTTCTGGATTTTCTATCTACAGCATCTTAGGAGACCATCACCCTATTTGTGAATATATAAATCGAATTCATATAAATTCAGAATTAATTTGCTTTTTAAGATCTATAAATATTTTATTTTTATGCCGCAGCATTGGTCCATTCTGAAAATACGCTCTTAGGCTTTCTTACATACAGTGCTGTGGATGCTTTACGTTGTATCGAATTGCCACGTGGTGAATTCTTATTAGTCTTCCATACATTAGCAGTTTATGTCGACAGCCAAGGCAGAAAGAGTAGAGATCGTGAAATTATGTATCCTGCTGTTCCTACAGCAGTTAGTGAGTATTATTTATGAACAAGACATAATATGAAACATGTAAAAAACGACATGTAATTATATCATTTATATTACAGGTTATTGTGAGGGCTATTTACTAGTTTATAGCGAAACTCACATTGATGTGTTTGGCTGTACAACTGGAGATTGGTTGCAGACACTTAATGTGAAACGAGCACGACCACTAAATACGTCAGGTTCTTTAACATCCTGTGTCATTAACGATATGCCACATGTTATTTTTTTGAGCAATTTACATCAACGTCAGTATATTTCATTAACATAATAACGATTACGATTACCAAATCATCAAATATAATATGTATTTGATTTATTATAATAGGAGAATTACTTAATTTAACACCGCTAGACGCAAGTGGTAGACAAATGACAAAACCTCGAAGAAGATTTTCATTAAGAGAAGGAAATAGAGCTGTTCGTCCTACTGATAGACGTTCCAAAATGATATCTGCTCCGACGAATTTTAATCATATCAGTCACATGGGTCCAGGTAATGGAATACAGGTAGGTCATTTTGATTCTGCTTTTCTTTTTTAAATTAATTAAACAAACTAAAACAACTAAACAAACTTTTAAACAAACTAAATATATATATATATATATATATATATATATTATAAATATTATATATTTTTTTATTAGATTCAACGGTTATTAAACTTACCTACTACACTAGAAACAGCTGATCAACAACATAGCAGTCATCACAGTAGCTCTCATCTTCATAGCAGCCAACAAAGAGTAAGAATTTAATGTATCTTTATATTTTATAAGTACATCAAATATCTATTTACATTTTTTTCTTAGTTATATAGTCCTGCAATTCAAACATCGAGTAAACCAGCGCCATTGCCGCCTAGGCACCCACCTTCTGATACACGACGTCTTAGTTCTCATATATCCAGAAATTCCGGATACTCACCGCATAACGGTATAATGCTCACTTTATTTTATTACCTAATTTTATTTGGAATATCTTCTATATAATACATACAATTTTTTCGTAGGCTCAACATCATCACGCAGAGGACCGGCACCGCCACGACCGACTGCTACTCCACCTTCGCTACCACGTACTCCTGTGGACCAAGTTGATTCGGAATCTGTGCATCTACGATCGCATACTCCACTTTCTCTTGGTAGCATTGCATCATTACACGACAAGGTATTACTTTTTCTTTATTGAAAATATTAATATCAATCGAACATAAAAGTGATATAGGTAGAAAATCAATATATTTTCCATTAATATAGGAACATACCTCTGGTGGAAGTCCTAGACATTCAATAGCTTCAAACAACAGTTCAAATCCATCAACGCCTCCAAGTCCTGCTCATGATCATGGTTCATCTTCATATGATTCATAAAAATTAATTTAACATCTTTCCTAACATTAACAACTTACTGTAATCACATGTATTATCTGAACAATAGGATTACAGTATCTATGAGAACACTTTTACACAAAATGATATCCGTATTTGATTTTTAGCTGGAAAGTTATCGTATTTATTTCTTTTCTCGTTTTTCTTTTTTAATTTTGTGCAATACATTTTTCTAACCATTACATTACATTAATTGTATTACAAACGTCTAAAAAAAGGCATAATACTCGTATGTACAAATGAATTAAGAAGTTGCACGTTTTAATTATTTAACACAATATAAAGGTTTCATGAATATATTAACATTAATTTTGGTACTATATTGCAACGACTTTTTGGTTTTCATAAACTTATATATAATATGTTATATACTTAATAAGACAATTTACAGTTAATGTAATGATAAATTATTGTAAATAATTTATATTTGGAAATTATTGTATCAACTTTACGATGCCATATACTATCGAAATAGGTATCATTTTGATATTTTTTTTCTCGGAGTTTTAACGCAGATACTTTGCATAATTTTAATTTTTAATAATTGTCACTATCTTAAATTAATGAAAATCGAAATCTCAGTCAAATTATCTAGCAATAAAAAATTAATCTATTACTCTATCGTACCTACTTTTGAATCTAGGTATAAATAATAGTTTCAACTAAATTATATTTAATAATTCTTAGTGGCAAATGAATTCAGTGAAAATGAATCGATCTGATGCCTTAACTAAATATTTTCTATTGCGTCATAATGCAGTAAGGTGCATCATTTTATTCAGCATGTGAATAGTAGAAATAATCGTGCAATGTATCGACAGCTCTTGCTAATATATAGTAAGGTGGCTATATACTTTTACATGACATACGAGTATTATATTTGTAACAGTAACAGAGTAATGTTGAATATTGATTTATCCTTACTGCAATAAAAACTGATTTCGCTCTTATAAATGTATTGCTTTCGATTAAGGCGATAAATGTCATTGTAAAAATTTTCATTTAAAAAAAAAGCATATACATATTTGACGATATGTTAACAAGTGCAATGCATAATGACTGAGAATAGAATCGAAAATGGAACGAAGATGATAAAGTATTGTTTATTTTAAATAATGAAATGTTGAAGTCCTTATTTATATTTCCAACAGTTTGATGAGAGTGTTAAAAAAAGATTGCTGCAACATCTTTATTACTTTTGTATTAAAAAAATTTTAAAATAATGAATTTACAAAAAAAAAAATGAATTATTTTGAAATTTTGCAAAAAATTTTACTTGATGATTAACAAGTTACATTCAATTCTTTTTATAGCTGTAAGATTAGAACAAGAAACAAGTGAAATTACAACAAAAATAAGAACAAGATAACAAGTTTTATATGTTTTAATGTATAAAATATATACATTTTTCATGTACATTTATAAAAATTTGCTAACTATACTAACAGAGAAGGGGAAAAGAGTTGGTAGAACAAGATAATTATCTCAGGATTCTATACCAGTAATTGAAATATGGGATAACATTTAATGGTCAAGAATCCTGAGTTGCTCCATTATTATTCAAATAATTATACAAGTTGAAGATGTTTTTATCTTCATACCTTTAAACATGTCATACAGTGAAACAAAAAGCCAATAATTACAGTATGGATTCAATTTTTACATACACGAAAAAGGAGTGCATGTAAAATAGTAATTTTGAATCATGCATTTAAATTTACATATATTTATAACAAGTTTTAATGAAAAAAGTTTAAGAAGTATCGAAAAGTTTATGAAATATTGAAAATGTTACGGTAAAATATTGATAGCTACATTCCGAGCAATTCTTTTTTATTTTCATAAAACAATGACAAATATACATGAGAAAAATCCAAGTTCCAACTCTTTAAAAAGATCACCATTGATAGACATTAAAGTTAGCGAATAATAACTATAACATACATGTAATACCAAAAAAGAAACTTGAAAGATCTTCATTACATTTGTGTAATGATAAGATATGAAAATATAATTATAAATAAAATATTTATCGACTGCAATAGATATGACATCCTTATATTAAAAATATAGAAAGAACCGTTAATAGAAGAAAAAATGTTAATGTTAACAGACAAAAAATGTAATAATACAGGTATTACTGTCCATACCGGAATAAAATAAAGTTTAAAAATGAGTTCTAGAACTATTCTAGAAATATCATCGTATGTTTATAAATTGTAGCAATCTACATGTTATTGTACTTATCAACGGAATTCAATAATTTGCCTATTATTCGCCATTGTTACTTAAGGGTTCTAAAATCAAAGATGTATCTGTTTGCTTTATGTTGTTTTGTATCTGAACTGAGTTTGTCTATAGATAGTACATACAAAGAAATAGTCACTTTGTATAGCATTGATTCTATATTTTTGTAAATAATTCAATTTCAACTTGATTTTAGACCCTTTGCGAATCTCACTTCTCTTTCCTTTTTAGTGTGCACATACATATATTGACATTCAAATTTTGAGTACGTCGTTTTATAAAATGTAAAAACTGCGCTATAATTATGCTTTCTTTTTACGCATAATCAAAATGTACGACTGGCATTTTGCACGGAAATAGAATGATTATATATATGCATATATAGATTGTATGATTCAGTAGTTAACTTTTGTACGAGTTATTAGAATATTTTATGTAACAATTAATAATGATTTATGTATTCCATTGGTTTAGTACCAGTGCATGTAATGACCTGATTATTAATCTTTTTTTTTTAGCAACTTAGTTTAGTGTATTCTATACTATGAATTTATTTATAACTAATATGTGCATTATTTACGATATTTATTAAAAGCAATTGCAAGCAATTATTTGCATTTTGAATAATGAATTGTATCTCATTGTATATTATTTAAAGAGCGTCATTGTAGTAAGAAAAAAACCAAATTCTTATGTTTGTAAAATTTTCTTACAAACATTTTTTTTTGTAGATTTTGTAATATTTATAATTTTTATTTTACATTTTATTTCATACAAAATCTATGTTAAAAGATATATCTGTTTCTTTTAAATTCATTCTTCAATGAATTATTAAGAAATAAGTTTTTTTGTAATAATAAAAGATATTAATAAACTTGATTTGTGAATATAATATAAATAATAATTAATAAGTATTACATAGATTCAATTTAGGTATTATTATAATTAACAAAACGAAATAATATAGTTGTTGCGATATTTATTGTTTAAAATGAAACTATTAACAGTAAGAAAAAAGTACCTACTAAAACAATAAACTGAATATCATTATAAAAAAGATCATTTAGAAAGATATATAAGTTTTTGTACTTATACTGTATATTGTGCTTTATATGCTTCATTATTTTAGTATGCTATACTCATTTCTATATCGCATAAGTAATTCATTTTATAACTTTGTATTAATGCAAATATTAATGAGGAATACAAAACATAACATGCTTCGATCTATAAAACATTAATGACAACTAATTATTTTCAATACCCTTTTTTGCAAATACATATGTATATATAAAGAAGATATTTTTTAAATGTATATTACATAGAAACACATGAAATAATTTAGGTAATTTAATATACTAAATAATTTTATTAATTCAAGTTGATTTCTATTTAAAATTTAGAAAACTTTTTTTATAATATAATTATATAAATAAAGCGTAATTAATATTTTTATTGACCTTTTATATAAAATAATAAAAATACTAATTGTTATAATTGAAATTTTACTACAAATGATTCAGTGAAAAGTATTCACATATTAACATTGGCCAGCAATATAACAATATAACATGATTAGTAACATCTATGAGTTCCTAATGGCAACATATGACTTCCTAATATTAGTCATTAAAACAGAATTAACGAAAAGTTTAATTGGCACTAATTGTTACTTGATTTTTGTGTTACATTTTACAAATATGATATATTTATCAGAATTTTTTTGTATTTATATTATATTTGAATAACTTTATGAATTTTTTATTTTTTCAATATATAACATTATAAACTTGGTGTCAACAACATTTTAGTAACATCAGTAATGATTTATATTTAAAAAGAACTCATTAGATTCTAAATCTGGCAAAGGCTTCCGAAATTATAATACTATATTAATTCTACTGTTCTATATCGTGCAAAATTCAAGAGCATCCATATGGTGCAGAAGTGTTGACTGAATATCTTAATTACAAAATTATAAATATGTTCCTTATAAAAGTATTTGCAGAAAACATATTTTCATTAAATCATAGATGAAAAATAAATTATTCGTAATTTAATTATTTATTATATATGAATGTCAATATTAAATTCATTCTTCATTTAAATTTCCTAACAATATTAATGGCAGCTGTACAGAGAGGTGTCGCATGTATACATAGCATATTTTATAGCATAATGTAAACCAGGTTATTCAATGTTCACAAAAACATCACTAGATATTTCTAAAATATAATTTCAATGTACTGTGTGTTTTACAAATATTAATTTTCAAATACAATTTGAAATAAAAGATATTACGTATAAAATCTTACTCACATTTCCTACAAAAATTAACGTGATTAACTAATAAATAAATACGTTCCAGTCTCTTTATGCCTTTGATTTATGCGTAATTATATAGCAAATATATATCTGTTAAATCGACTGTATAATACAACAAAGAACACACGCGACAATGTATACTGCCGTCCAAAATTTAAAAGACGACATGTTGCAAGAAAGGCATTTTTTTCTGTATTGTTAAATCACCACTGCAATTCTAGAGTACAATATTAAATTTGTACCTCATTTGACGGTTTTGTTTCTCGGTTTCCATCATCTTGGCAATGTAGTTACTGTCACGATAAACTTCCTTTGCGCATAAACTCTCTAAATGGTGTAACTCCTATGGCATTTTAAATCTCTTCGTTTCAAAAAATTTGCCAAATGTTACAAAGAAGTATCAGAAGACGTACTTTCAGAAGATGTACTTTCATGGCTGACTTGATTTAAGGAGTGTTGAAGTGCATCAGGCGTTAACCATTCCTTTGGTAAACAACGCTGAAGAAAGGGTACACATGAACTAAAATATGCAAGGCGATTTACCCAACCCGGTATTTCTTGACCACACAAAATCTACAATTTAGAATAAAAATATCATATTAGCAATATAGCTCGATTAAAAAATGATTATATAATATTTTTATAAACATACAAGTGTAAGTTGACTGCTAAAGTGATTACAATTTTTATTCATTAAATGGTAACGATCACCCCTAAAATCTTTTCCTAATTCAGTAACAATCCTAGTTACATCTTCTTCTGTGAAGTCTGTATATCCAATGTGAACTGATTGCCTACAATGGTAAATAAATATATTCTTCCTTTGAAATAATATAAACATATTCTAAAATAATATCTTTACCTATATCTAAATTGCTCTCCTAATTCTTCAGCAACTCTTGGTGTAATCTCAAAAATTCCAGAAATTGGTTTAGAATGACCTCCATATGCATATTCTAAAAATTGGTGGAAATAATTCAATTTTGTTATTAATAAATTCAAAAAATATATACATATATATAATAAATAATATATGTACCTGTTCCATATATTTCAACTCCTGAATGAAATACACCTAATCCAATTGGGGTAGTATATTCATTTATCCAATACTGAAATGAAAAATGTATTTATTACATGCACATCAGTAAAAATTTTAAAAAAATTATATATCTTACCATGTCATAAACATTAAGGATTATTGGCTCTCTAGCCATTTTTGGTATTAATTCTTCGTTGTCCTGTGGATAACCCAGACAACTGGGAAAGGATAGATTGCAGCTAAGACCTGATGAAAACATCATAGAGATACCTATACTTGAAGAGATGAACAGCAGCACTACCTATGTTCCAACGCACCTAATAAGCAAATATGTTTGCTATATACTGGATCTACCCTAAGCACATAGCCAAAAATGACTACAAAAATAAAAAAATATATGACACAGGGAACGCAGTCTTACATTTGATGATAATTAGAATTTTTACGACGAATATCTGATTAATTTTACACGATATTGTATATTATCTTTATGATTCATATAGGGTTATACAAACAAAGCAAAAATATAACAAAATACATGTTATTATCAAATAAAATTATATGTTTAAAAGATATTCATTAATTATATAATAATTAGTAACTTCATGCTTTTCTAAACAAAATTATTACAATATGCAAAGTACACACAGCAATGAATATACTTTTCTAATGACACTATTGCAACTAACAGAATTTAAATAATAAAATAACCAATATTATATTGCCAAACAATAACAATGAGAAAATCAAAATATACACAAATAATATTCTGATTTATAATTTATAACTACTTTGTTAGTACTAATAAAAATGTAAAATGAAGAATATTTAAAGATAATAAACAAATTTATCAGTGATATTGCTTAACAATGAAAACTAAGAATGGATATACACACTTCACAATAGGAGAAAGAAAATGTATTATGAATCATCAGGTCAAAGATTTTGTTAAATGATATTTCTGTTAAATGAATTATATTAAAAAACGGAGATTTCAACACAATCACATTTTTTTCATAATTTGTTATAAAATAGTTGAAAAAAGATATTTAAATTTTTTTGAGAGAATTGTTGATGTTAAATAATACAGATAGACATTGTGCAAAATCTCAAGTGCCTATGCCCGCAATAAATTACTAATCTTTTTCAAACGTTAAACAATAATTGTCCTTGCAAATGAAATTTAATAATTTAATAACTGAAATTCGTAAAAATTACTTGCAAACAGCATACATTATGTCAGTAAGAAGTTTCTCTTCACTTGAAGTGCGCTAAATGATCAACAAAATCTTTCTTGAATCTTCTAATTATATGTTTTAATTATTCATTACGTAGTTTCAATCAGAAATTTAATTAACTGCACAGAACAATCACTAAACATTAAAGATTTTTTAAAGGAATTTACACAAATTGTTTATAATTAGAAACGAATAGGATTTGTCTAGGGATATCGAATAATTTTCTCTAGATGCGAACATCAAACATTGAATACATAATAACCAAATTTTCTTCCTCGGGTTATAAAATTTTAACAAAATATTAAATTTTATATGTTTATTATTTTCCTATATTATTTATTGCTTACCCGTCTCAGTTTTTCAATATTGATAAAATATAATTCATAAATAATATTCCTTATTTTCTAATTGTATGTAAATAGCATAACGCTATTTTTTTATTACAATTTTTATTATACAAATAAAAGTGTAAAATATAATTTCATTTTTTAATGCAATTTGTTACTGTTAATTAACATTAATTAAACGTATATTTTATTAAAAATACGTTTAAACATTTTTCATATTCGAAATATTTATTCTCGGAATTTAAAATTAATTTTATATTATTCCTAATTAAAGTATATAAATTACTATTCATACTACAACCATCTCTTTTTATGAACATTATATTATTACAAATAAATACAAACTTAAATATATAATAGTAAAAAACTGTTTTAAAAAATTTCAATTATTTGTTTAAAGTAGCACTTGAAATTGAAATCAATCATATTTGTGAATTTCTAATAATTGAAAAGTTCTCTTAATTAAAATTTTGTAACTATTAGCTGCACATTTTAGAGTACATAAAATTGTTATTATTGAGATAAACGCAATTTATTTGAAATATTTTATTATACATTACAAGCAATTTATGGAACAAAATATTACTTTTTTTCAATACGTACATAATATGCGCACATTTTCTTTTTATTACTTGTTAACATTTTTTATATAACTATTGCGAATCTTTTCATATTTTTAAATGAATATATGAATTTTATATTTATTATATGAAATATGAGTTTTTAAATACACTATCACAAATAGCGTATTTTTAGATTTCATATTTCATATAAAGATATTTACAATCATTCTATTTTTTGCTGAGAAAATATTTTCTAGATTCAAAACATGTAATATAAATATTTACATATTTGTATATTTCATCATGTCTTTTTTGTAATATAAATTAATATATTTAATCAATGAATAAGTTAAAATATAAATTGTATTATGTAAATGAAATGTCATAATTTGTGTTTTTGTGGATTATATTATATCAATGCCTATTCTTACCTAATTGTTGTGTACATATTGAATTATGAAAAATTTCAATGATCACATTTAATATATTATTTAAATGAATCTATGAATACATGAATATATTTGTCAATGTCAATTTTTTAAAATCAATTCTTTTAAATATTGCTGATAATATTTTATCATATACTAATCTTTTTTATAAAAATTTATATTTGTATAAGTAAAAAAATCTTAGTTATAAACTTTATTATTGTATACATAATGTTGCAAATCATAAATATTCTAAAATATACATAAATTAAATGAGGTATAAGTAATAAATTTTACCAATTATAAAATATAAACCTAACTATATCCTTAATAAATGTATTTGCACCTACATAAATGTACAACATATGTTCATAATAATATGTTCATAAATGTACAATATATGTTCATAATATGTTATATAAACATATAACAACTATTTGAAGATTACTTTTAGTATATTTATGTTTGGGGCACACAACAATTGTGTAAGTCCAAATATTCACACTTATTACACATATTTATACATAAATATGTACTTATAAATAAGTGTTTCATGATAATCAAACACTTTTATATGCCAAATATGTGGTTTCATAAACTGCTTTGAACAAAATTTATAATTTAACAGAACAAATATAAAAATATAAAAGTTTACAATTATACAATCGAAATATATATAAGTAATGCAAATTATAAATCTTGTGATATTACTCGATCACACGTTTTAACTATTGTTTTAAGTTTAAATTTGTATCTCTAGTTTCTAAAAAGTAACTATGTGTCATAATCCTCATCCAGAGAATGAGCAAAATTTGACGTTGGTTGATTATTTGTATTTGTACTTAAATTCATAGGATTAACCTCTGTGTAGAAGTTAGGTTGACTAATTTGAAAGGATGCAGGTACAGATATTTGAAATTCTGGAACTTGAGGGGCAGTATTTTTTACCATCTCATTAACAGTAGTTGAATTATATATTTCTGTTCCACCATTGTCTTTTGAACTTTTAGTCTCTAAGTTTACATCAGGAGTTAATGCCATTTGCTGCTTCTGAATTCTATAAAAATATAATAGTACATTTATAAGATTTACAGATTGTAAATGGTTTAATACTTACCCTACATCCTGATGTTGTGTTATAGATGAACAAATTGATGTACTTGATGTATTTGTATTTATTGAAGCAGGTGTCAGTGGTGGTGTTGGCACTTCCTCATCAGGGCTCGATACATCTGGTAAAGACTTTACTAAATCCTTTAAAAAATCAAAGCGGCTCTCTGATAATATACATTGTTTCCTAAATAAATTTGATATAAGAATTAGTACAAACAAATCAAAATCAAATATTGTAAATATAAGTTAATTTATTTAAAAATCTTATATGGATCTTACATATGAGATGGACTCAAAGTCTTAGCATTTTTGGCATTTGTAATTTCCATGGTTTTTGTAAGTAATGAATGTACAAACAGTTCTAATGTTCTAGGTATAGAAATAATTAAGGAATTTATTTTCAACATGAAAATATATCATCAACAGTTTAAAGATCTACAATGTAAACAACATAGAAGCTTATGTTGGTACTTAAAATGAAGTTATTGTTTTTATTGCGTGGATATAAGTTATAAAGGATATAAATTATAATTGGCACCGCTTGTGCGACCTTTCCAACCTCTTCGTCGGTCTGCATAATTTTTTTTATTCTGCCCTGAGTGCATTTGTAAAGATAGGTTAGGTATGTAATTAAAAAATTGTTATGTGTTGAGTTTCTTTTTATTACATATTTTTTTATAATTTAAATGTAATTAAGTTATAACATTGTTTTTATCGAAATTATAAACATGTAATTTACGTAAAATGTACTTTCGTGAAAAATTTTTCCAAACTACAGAGTACATAATACTCACTGCTGGAAAACGTGCATTATATTTTTTCTTTTTACTCGGCATTGTCACGAAGTGTAAGGCCTCACTCTACGTAGAAATAAAACGAATAATAAAATTTTGTAAGAATAAACGTATTTATATAGTATTTGCAGCGATAGAGGTGTTCCGAAACTTGACAGGTATCTGTAACTTGTATTTTCCAATAATCAGAAAAGTATTTTACGTTCGTAAATGTGACGCTTCGTACAAACTGAATACCACGTGTTCTAAAAATACTTTGAAACATAATCTCAGGTTATAATTTATGAATAACAATATTCATTGTAGTAGCATGAATTTGTTTATTTTTTTTTATATTTATTCTTTTCTTTTCTGAGTAAAAGTAATTACGAATGAAACTGCTAATGTCTATGGTTAAAGATTTACTCTTACGAAATAATATAAGTTTAGGAACGACAATCGAGTTACAAATTTAAATTCGAGATTGTCTCGAATTACGGTTTGTTATTTTAATTGAATTGTGTATTTCAATTTGTAAAATGTGCAATGCAAAAATTTGTACTTTTTATTATTTTTAAGGTACCAAGAAAATGTTCATACAATTGTATATAATTCAAAATGTGATGAATATTAGATGAGCAACATTGTAAATATACTAATGTTTTTAACCTATAACTGACAACTCCGATCAAATTTTGTTTTATAATGGCAAATTCGAGCAATGATAGAATCGTAGTTTTAATAGATATGGACTGTTTCTTTTGCCAAGTTGAAACGAAACTTCAACCAGAATATGCTGGAAAACCACTTGCAGTTGTGCAATATAATCAATGGAAGTTAGGAGGGTAAATGTATAATAAACATTAATATAAATTATATTTTAACAATTAGATAAGTGTACATTCTAGATATTCATAATATTTTTTAAATAGAATAATTGCTGTTAATTACGAAGCAAGGGAATATGGTGTTACAAGACATATGAGAGGTGAGGAGGCAAAAGAAAAATGTTCGGATCTGGTTTTAGCTAGTGTACCGTGTCTTCGTGGGAAAGCTGATACGTCAAGGTACACCAAAGAATTATGCATTTAATATATCATGCATGTACAATAAAGAATTATGCAATTTAATTTTGAGAAATTATGAATATTTGTAATTTCTCAATATTAGATATAGAGCTGCTGGTCGAGAAGTTATTAATGTTATAAAGGAACATTGTGATATAATAGAGCGTGCTAGTGTGGATGAAGCATATTTAGATATTACTGATCTAGTTTCCAAGAGAATGTCTACAAATCTTATTTCTTCGGAACATTTAATAAAACAGCTCTCAAACACTTTTGTAGTTGGATATTCAAAAGATGGAAAGAATGATGAAGGTAAGAAAAGAATTATTTTTACAGTTGTCTATGATGACATTTTATGATATGGAGTTTTATATGTTATGAAATCAGAAGAGAGAAGTAATGGCACAAGAACTTGGATAATAAATATTTTTAAAGATCTTGAAGATATAGAAGCACAAAAACTTGCAATAGCAGGGATTATAGTTGAAGAAATAAGGGCTGACATATTTGATAAAACAGGATTTAGATGTTCTGCTGGTATTGCACAAAATAAGGTAAAAAAATGATAAGTTATTTTGTGAAGTATAAGTGAAAGAGAAAGTTCTAACCATATTGTATGTGTTTAGATATTAGCTAAATTGGCATGTGGATTACATAAACCAAATCGACAAACAATATTACCTGCAACCGCAGTACCAATTTTGTATTCAACTTTGCCAATCAAAAAAGTTAGAAACCTTGGTGGGAAGTTTGGAGATGTTATTGTTGAATCTTTGAATTGTAATGTTATGGGTGACTTATTGCAATATTCATTGCAATATTTACAAAAACGTTTCGATGAGAAGACAGGGTACATTTATAAGCTTATAATTTCATTGAAAATAATAATGCATAAAAAAAAATGATTTTATATTAATATATTTATTTAGATTATGGTTATACAATATTGCTCGAGGAATAGACAATGAACCTGTTAATATACGACTGGTATCTAAGTCAATTGGAGCATGTAAAAAATTTCCAGGAAAACAAGCCATTGTTTCATTAGATGTGGTAAAGTATACAATAAAATTTGTACAAATAAAAGTTGTGAATTATATTTATACATAGTACGGTTTACAGTTAAAACATTGGGCTAGTGAATTGTCGGCAGAAGTTTGTGAACGTCTGGAACAAGATCTTGAGGAAAATGAGCGTCGTGCAACATTAATAACTATACATTATCAGTATTATCAAAACAGAACTACAATATCTCAATCACGTTCATGTACTTTAAATTCATATAAGCCAGAAAATATGGCAACTCGTTGTGTACAAATTGTATCAAAATCAACACAATGTCCAATTGCATTTTTGGGTATATCAGCTGGTAAATTTATACTGGCTAAAGGTAGTGACAATTTTCGGAATTTCTTTAAATTAAACGAATTAGAATCTCGTAAAAAAATAGTTGTACAAACAGAAAATGAAAAACTAGAAAGTATATGTTTAGTAGAAAATAGTATCAAAAAAATAAAAAATGATTTAGATGTAGATAAAAATGTCGGCATAGATGTTAATAGCGAAAAAATCAACAATATGCAAAATAATAAATTAAAACATATTGGAAAAAGTTCTAGAATTAATGCGCAATTAACTGAATATAATTATGATGCAAGAACTGATTCGTCTCCTACTTCCAGACGATTAGATAATTTAATTAATTCATTGAATGAACGAAATGAAATAAAAACCCTTTGTAAAAAGAAGGCCAACTGTTTTAATTTGAGTGATCCTTTAGATCAAAATGATTTCAAGGAATCGTTTTTTATGAATGTTTTTAACTCGGAGAAAAGTAATTCAAAAAATACATGTATAAATAATATTGAATTAAATGATAATGTAAATATGGATATTAAATGTGAAAATGTAAATAAAAATAACATAAAAAATGAAGAAAGTAATTCTGACGAAAATTTAGATTTAAATATTAAACATAAAATATATGTAAACAATGAAATTGAAAATAAAGCAACTTCTTCAAATATAAAATTAAATGAAAATAATGAACAAGACGTAATACAACTACAAGAAATATTTCCTGATTTGAATAATATCGATTCCAATGTAGTTGCATTATTACCTCCACATTTGCAAGAAGAAGCAAAATTATACATGAAACTAAAAGATAAAAGGGATAATACAAAAGAAATTTTAATGAAAACATCAAAGAGAAAAAATAAATGTACAACTAATAGCTTAAAAGGAAAAAGAAGCAATGATATTTCTAACTTCTTAATTAAAAAAAATTCACCTAATTTAATTGAAGTTCCTTCTAAACAATGTCCAAAATGTTATCAAATGATACCTATATCAAAATATCAGGAACATTGCGACTTTCATGTAGCTGAAAGTTTGCAATGGGACATAAGTAATTCAGTATTACATACTACAAATATAAAAAGAAAGGAAAATACAGATGATATAGATATAGATACGAATTCTATTAAACGTCGACCAAATACAAATATTTTAAATTCTCACAAGAATTACAAATCCATAACATCATTTTTTTCGGAATGAGATTAAAAAATTATAAAGAATATTTTATTTATCATTTATAAAAATATCCATTATATATAAGTGACATGTAGTCAAATATGTATATACAATATAGTGTTCTTAGAATCGAATAATTTCTTTCTTACAAATATTGTAAAATGCATAAAATGCAAATATTGTTTTATAATAAATTATATTTAATTACATCGTTTTATTTAAATAAGATAAATTAGCATATAATATGAAAACTTCTAAATGTCTTATAATATAGTTGTTCAACATTGATAAATTATGTTTATGTATAATTAATACTTAAAAGTCGATTTGTACTTAAACAATCGAGTTTTGCAAATTCAGTTTTTATGATATCTTTATATTGTTTCATTGAATCTTGAAATGTAGAAATTGTTGTTCTTATTGCATCATTAGAAGTTTTTAGCAATTGAAATGCTATAGAAAAATAATGAAATTTTAAAATAATGGCTAAAGAAATTGTAAAATTATACCTTGTTGTTTGTTAATTTCTTCTTTTTCAATAGCTTTCATTAATTCTTGTATAAGTCTTAATAATTTTAATTGCTTTCGCGATAAAATTTTTTGGGATGATATTTTTCCAAATTTTTTTTCGTGTTTTTTTATATATACATCTAGTTTTAAAACTGCTACCTTTTCTGATCGATTATGCAATGAAATTTTTTTATAACATATATTTTCAGACATCATTATCGTCTTAAATTGTATATTAGTTTACATAGAAATATGAAGCTCAATAAATAATTCTTTTGTTTTTAAAAATATAATTAAAAATATATATTCTGAATGAATGAAATAAAAAAATTTGTTAGAAATGTAAATATATGAAAACATATTTATTTATATAAAAATTATAATAAAAATGTACATGTACACTTTAAATAATACATTTGTTTATAAGAAATTCAAAGAGAATTATATCCCTTCTTCCATACAGTGTCTTTTAGATACGCACCAATCATAGGATTATTGAGCATTATTTCTACTATGTCTTTAAATCCCAATTGACTGGCTAATACATATTTACATTCCACATCTAATAATTCAGAAATTAATATTTTCATGTTATCTGTCATAGTATGTGTAATGCTTTTTTCCAATCTGTACCTATAATAAAATTATAATGTATTAAAATAGGAAATTTTCAAAAAACTTTAATTATTTTAAAACGATAATTAACTTGCCTGCGTGCACAGTCTTGCACAAGAGCAGAACTGAGTTTATTTGCTGCTATAAAATCTTTTAAATATTTTGTTTCTCCATTTAATATACAATGATTATAAATCAGATTCACCCAATCTACATGATGATCATAAGCATGTATGACAATAAAAGCTTGAGAGAAACTTAAATTGTGACATAATACTTTATCAATATCTTCAGATTTTAAATTAAGTATACAAATTACTTGTTGATTATAAGACACTGTATTAAAAAGTGAAAGTTGAAGAGCAACTAATTGTACTTGATCAGAACATTGATTAGCAAGGTTTAGTTTATTAGCCTATAATTATAACATAATCATATTATAAATTTTTATTTTAGAAAATAATTTAGATATTAATACTTTACCTGTAAATAGTACTCTGTTGCATGAGTATAATTAGTAACAATTAAATGTAATTGTTTGAGGATATTTTCGGTTTTAATGAATTTTATTTCATGTTGAACGGTATTTTGCAATTTATTATGATCTTTCGTAGCATCTGATATTATTGCTTTAATTATATCTTTCGCTTCATTTTCCCACATAAATGCTAATTCATGATACAATCGAAAATGTAAGGCTACCAGAGTAAAAAGTTCCTTATTCTCAGGGCAATGTCGTTTGAGAAATTCCAAAATTGCTATTTCTAAACCAGTTACCTGTGTTTTATATAATATCTATATGTTTATGTATAATTGGAAATTTATATTTAGTAAAATAAAAAGCATAGAGAAACCTTATTTAATCCTTTTCCAAGTAAAAATTCAAATTGATCATTTTCTTTTAAAATTTGAAATACGTAATTCATTTCTGTAAAACGACCAACACCTGTTACAAGACGGACCTAAAATTATTTGATGATTGATTATTTTTCAGATATAATATATCGGCTGATCTTAATCTATCCTATCCTAATCTATTCTAATCTAAAATCTTTATTTTATTATATAAAATTCTTATTAAATAACATACCAGTAACGTCCAACACTTAAGATTTTGTAAAACATTTGCGAAAATTTGACATTTACATAATACTGATGCTATACCTTCCATATTACAAGAAGTTGTAAAGCAATCATGAGCTCGTATTAATAGTTCTGCAATCGTCTTCAGGGTTAATGCTAAACAATAAGAAAGATTTCAATAATAAATTTAAATATCAAGAATATTCTCATTATATAATGATAATTATATTTCATTACAATACCGTTTGTTTTTTCACCCTGAGAATATCCAAGTAATTTATTTGCTGTTTTTAAAAGTTTCCAACCAACAAGTGAAACATCGTTGCATAGTTCCATAATAACCCGAAAATTTGTATTTAAGGAATATCCCCATAAATAAACATTATTTTCATATTCATCTAAAAAAAATATTAACTTCTGACGATCATGTATGAATTTACAAATCATTACATACCTTCTACCGCACGGGTAATATTTAGAGTAATATTTTCAGCCAAAAATGTTGCTACACTATCACTGCTTATTTTGTACGCAATAATTATATCATTAACAATTTCGGATTTATTCTCAATATCACTTTCTGTAATATTTTGCAAAAATTGAATTGGATTATTTAATATTAGCAAGAATTGATAATTTTTTTCCAATTGCATGGCTAATTTATAACATAAAACAATTCTAAGACATATGTCTACTCCATGTTCCAGAATGTCAAGTAATTTTTGTAAAATTGATATACACTCCATTTGTATTTTATGAACGTTTTCATCTTTTGTTTTACTTATTTTAGTTGTATTGATTGAAGCAATTACTGTAACCAAAATTTTGTTATAAATGTGTTCGTTAATAATTTATTGCAATGAAAATATAAATAAAAAATACATGAAGATGAAGAAAATCTTTGCAAACCACGATTCTTTAAGGCACTGTATTTTTGCTGCTTATTTTTATTTACTTCTTGCAAAAGACTTTGTTGTTCAGTAGTTAAATTATTAGGCAAAATTTCTCCTTCTGCTAAACTCAAACATAACATCAGAACTTGTAAATCCTAATTAAAATTAATACTGTTAATATATATTTATTAATAAGAATTTAATGAAATTTACCTTATGTTTATAGTTAAAAATTGTACTTATTCTCAATGCAGTATCCAATTTCCCCACGTCAATTAGTTTATTAATTAAAGTTTCAGTTGCATATTTTTCTTGTATGTTACTTAATGTATAACTAAATTTTAAATTATTTAATCCCGATAATAACTCTGTTTTTAATTTATTGAAGATATAAGGTCCATCATCTAATTGCACATTTTCAGGACCGGCTAATATACATGATTTCCACATTGCTGTTTCAAGTGCATCAATATTTTGTTGTTCTGTTTTAATATCTTTTAAGCTTTCAAACGCTGTTTTTAATATATCATATCTGTCAAAATGTATATTTTTTATTTGATTAAATTAATTTATATAATATATTTATATAATATTGGGGTTAAAAAACATGTACATAAGTATATACCTTTCTTTATGAGAATTAACTTTTTCAGCATGTTCAACAAAAAATTCTGCTGCTTTCTCATGTGAAATATTGTATTTTTTAAAATTTAGTGCACATTCATTCCAAAAATTATCTTCAATTTTATCATTTTTGTGTATATAATACTTAAATTTACTTCGATACTAAAAATATTAATAATTAAGTAGCATAAAATAAAAACTTGTATTAAAAATATAAGTTGTACCTGGGCTAAAATTATTTCAGAAGAATCTAATCCCGCTAAATTTGATAACTCTAATGCATTGGCATAATTTTCATTTCTTATTAAAGCACCAATACATCTATGAATTTCTGTATCAAAATTGTACACATTATCTGATACCGTGAATATCGCAAAGTTTAATGCAATATTTGTTTTTTGAAGAATTTTTGTAACTTGTAGTAAAAACTGAAACTTTGGAATGGAAACTGTAACGAATAAAGAAATTATTTTTTGTCTAATATTCATAAAATTAATGAGATGACAATCCATACGAGATTACAGTACCTGGAAAATTCGTATAAAAATCACATTTTATCAAAATTTCAAGAAATTTTATTTGCAGATGTGTACTTTTTAAAGCATGAGCAAGCGTTGCAATAACGCATTTAATTACAACGATTGCAATCCAGTATAAATTATTCAAATACGTGGTATCTGAAGAATTCCAATCCGTAGCTTCCTAAAAAAACAGAAGTTTCATATTAATTCATTTTTCATCGCGTAAATGCTAAATATTCATACATACATTACATTTGAGATTTATGCATTGTGCTTTGAAATCCAATAACTTTTGCTGGCAACCTTTGAAATCACCATAAATTACACATTGTGCAAGAAATTCAAAAAATAAATTGAAGACGTTTTCCTACAATTAAATTGTATTATGAAAACAAGATATAATATTCATATAGAAATAACATACTTACTGGCATAAAAATTCTGTAAGCCTTATTAAGGATACTAAGATATCCACGTGTTACCATTTGATCTAATAAATTAGAAACTTGATTGGCTGTCCATACTTGTTGTTCTAAACATTCTTTATAATTAGAAAGGATTTCTTCATCTGTAGTAGATATTATCATCCATGAATAACAATATCCTGGTATTGAAGATGGCTAAGAAAGATGTTCAATAAAAACGTTATACGATTTGAAAAATTTTATAGTTTAGAAAAGATTGAAATTATTAATATAAAATACCTCATAACAGGATGCTAAAACTGTAAGAAAAGGTCTTGAAGTTAATCTGGATGAATTGATTAAAGCACCAGGTGGATCTGGACTTTGGTGACATTTTAAAATAATCAACCACAAATCATCATCCAAAGAACAAATGTTATCATTGACAATATAATCGCCTACACTATGAGAATCAGAAGTGCTTGCTGAATCTGCTGATATTGAAGAATCATAAGTAGGTGATCCCTGTTCAAAAACAATATAACATAGTATTTGGTAAAATTTGTTTTGAACATATGATATTAATTACTTACACTTTGTTTAACTCCAATTTTGTAATATAGTGATTGTCTAACATCTCGTGATTTTATCTTTTGTTCACTATGTGCAGCTAATTGAGATTTTGTAAGTTGAATATTACACAAACAAGTTAATAAATGTTCTCTGAGAACAGTATCTTCAAAATATTTTGTATTTTCCAATACCTAAAAATAATAAAAAGTACATTCTTCTTTTAATATTAGAAATTTTCTAGAAATAATTTTAATTTTAATTAGAATTAATTAAAATATTATTTAAAACAAGATTACCTGATTCAATGGATAATTGAAGATATGACAAACTAATACGAATTCAAACCAATGATTCTGACTTGCTAAAAATTTTAATAAACTAATTGGTAAAGGAAAATTATGTGCTTTTGCAAATCGTACAATAATATCCCATATTTTTAATATTTTTATGAACTGTTGACTATTATTAATTAAGTTTTCAGTACAATTTGTTTGAAAACTACTTTCAAGATAAGATATTACAGTTTTTAAATCATCTTCATTTCTGTACATTA